CGCGACATCTTGGTTAATTTTGAACCTGTTTTGATAATATTTTGATGATAAGTATTCGTTCCAGTGTTGAATTCGTAATAATTTCGCCAATTTTCTCTGTTTTTGAAGTCATATTACATTATTTAAAGTCATTAAAGCTATAAAGATTCTTAGTTTATTATAAATACAAAATATATTTGTTAGTCTGTCACTTCTTGGCATATTCATGGCTTAGCAAATAGTCATTAAATTTGGCATATAAATGGACGCAGTGTAGAAAATAAAGATTCTGATTATAATCAAAATAAAAAAGCAGATCTTACAAAATAGCATTATTTCATTATTATGTATACAGAATAGTATAAGTTCAGACTCGTATTATAGATCAAGTTCGTTCCTAGGGGGAAATTTTAACTTTTGTAAATATAGAAAATATTCTTAGTCATTGTCTCGGTATATAGTTTACAACTGACCTTAATTTTTCCTTACGTGGTATTTTTAAAACATTTTATCTCAAAAACACCCATATAATAGCAACTACCGTTTTAACCTACTTCTAATAGATGGCGCTGTCAGATAACACTCGGAAGCAAGTTAAGATTTACACCTACAGACCGCCAATATAACTTTACCTCTGCTGACCTTTTATATTCTACAATTACCCTAGAAACAGGCTTACGTGAGGTACTAAAAGAGGTCTAAGTTAAGTGGTGGGCGATTTCCCGCCACAACCGTGCCGGACATGACCACTCTGTCTATGTTCCAATTTTGAATTCGAAATTAAGTGTTCACCGTAGTGATTATTTGGTCTGTAGTGTATACATCTTTATATTTCGAAATCCAAAATTCGATATATTTGTGTTATGAACATAGACTAAGAATTTCTCTTCTTATGCTTATCAGGCAAAGAACATTCGTGTGCACAGCTGAGCATAAGAAAAAAAGTTTATTTTCTATAATTCCTGATTTCCAACAGTCGAACCTAGGACTTTATTGTCCAAAGTAACGCAAAGTTATCAATACAAAATTTACTTACTTGATTGTTCGTTCAAAATTCATATATTATGTTAATTTGTAATGAAACATCAAGTTCATCTATGCGTCAAATTTACATGTCACTTTATTTTTAAAGAAAATATTTATTTACTGTATTTACAACGATTGTAGGTACTATTCTCAATCTATGTATTTATAATTTTGTACGCCACAAAACAGTAACTGTTGAATTTTTTAAAGTTTCTTCTAAACAAATACTAAGTTCCTAAAACTACAGTGAACATTATAAAAAAAAAACGTAGATTTAAATAAAACTTATCAACTGACTTTAAATTCAAAAAGAGAAAACGTTCTTAACGCGGTTCTACTTTTTTTTTATTCTGCTAGAATGCAGTAATGGCAGAGTAATGAGGTCATTACTCTGTCATTTATTGGCCGATTTGGAAACCTATTTTTTTTTTACCTCAAAGGATATACTTTCTGACTGGTTACATAGAAATTTTAACAAAATTTGATTGAAAAATTAATCTATTGAATAGTTTAATTTTTCAATCAAAATACGATTGAAAACGGTGTTTTTATGTGGAGCAAATACTAAATTATTTTTACTTTGATTTTACGTATTTATAAACATCAAGCACGGCGACTATTGGCAAAATCTCCCAATAATTTTATACTTTTTTATGCAACTTAGAATGGCAAACAAGCTGACGGCCCACCTGATGGAAAGCGGTAACCGTCGCCTATAGACATGAGCAGTACCATGGACATAACAGAGTATACTGTTTCGCCCATGATGGAAAACCATTACCATTGCTATAAGAAATGCTCTCGTTCCTTATGGTAATCCATGAGAGAGGCCTATGTTTAACAGTGAACAGAAAACGGGATGATATACCCGCCAAAACACATTATCCCCCTTTCTATCCACAATCGGTACGTACAAGTGAAATTTATACACGCCGCGCGGAACCTTGCACCCTGTGGTATTTTTACCAAGTCCTTCCAAGCAGCCTTTACTTCGGGCTCGCGACTATCTTTTATTTTGATCACGGCACTCGACATTTGCATGTCGAGGCACGCGATGTTGGCCCATGTTGGATGTTGGACAATTACTTCCGCCAACATTGCTGGACCAATATGCTTATTTAATAATTCTTAACTGTCTTACTATTAATATGTAATGCGAATTAAAAAAAAAATAAAAAAAAAGTTATATCAATCTAAAGAGTCACATATAAAATGCTATAAAATAACCGATCAGTTCAATTGGCTGAAACTTTATGAAGGTGTTAGGTACGTAATTATCGTTTAAGTATATAATACAATATAAGACCGAATTCATGAAGGGTTTAAATCGAAATGATATACGGGAACCACATAGTTTTTTTTTTTTTTGATGGGTGAAAATGGTATGGTAGCCCCGCCTGCGCTGACGGGATACGCTGGCGGAGCACCAGTGAAGGGTGATAGATGAGAATGAAAACAGGCCAGTTAGCCCATCATGATGAATTCATCAGGAATTAACCATGATAGTTTCCAGGGGGAACCGCGAGGAGGTCGACCTGGTTGGGTATATTGCCAGCAATAGGACTCTCAGTCTCCATTACTAACAATCCCTTTTCTCCCCAGGAACTACTTAGTTAGAAGCGGGCAACGGCTAGTAACATATATGTATAGGTTTATACTCATATATTGTATATAGTTATTATTTTTTTAAATTTGATAAAGGTACTTATATTTATTTTCCTTAATGTTTTACGCTGTTAACTTTCTTAATTATACTATCATACTATCATATCATATCATACATGTCTGTATACAATAATACATACACATATATATATATAAACATAAAATATCTGTTCACATACAAAATACGTACATATACATGCATAGACATAATAAGTTTATGAGGACAGAAGATGCTCTATTAATCTGCTCTTTTTCATATTTATTACCTAATAACTCCGTCAGTTACAAACTGATTTGAAATATTTATTTATTATATAAATTAAAGGATATATTAACCGATTGATCCCATACAAAATTTTAACAAAATCGATCGAGTAGTTAAGTTTTTAAATTTAAACAACTGGTTTTGCTGCAATAGAAGTAATTTTTTATGAAGCAAAACAAGAAAATATCTTTGTTTATTTACTACGTAATATTTATTTTATTTATGACACTTTATTGTACAGTAAAGTCTTAAATTTCTAAGTCTTAAAGAATAGGCCACCTTCTCCTTTCCCGTGTGAATCGCAAGAGGTGACTAAGGGAGGTCAAAAAATAGGCAGCGGCGTCCCTCTTTAAACATCTCTAAAACCTAACTGCGGTTGTCGATCCGCCAGCCAAGCGTGGCGACTACTAGCAAAACCCCCCCAAGGGGAGGCTTATGTTCAGCAGTGGACAGTTAAAGGCTGGTATGATGATGATGATGAAAGTCTTAAATTACCAGAGGGAGACTTTGTACAAAAGTCGTTTGCTTGGCCACCTCTGTCCCATTCGTGTTTCAACCGTGAAGCAGTTGTGTTTGCATCGCTGTGTTTCGGTTTGAAGGGTGGGATATGGCAGTGAATTTACTGGGTACAGAGGAATAACACCTGAGTCCTCAGGAATGGCAACGCATGGGCGGTATCATAGGCGAAACAGTATACTCTGTTATGTCCATGGTACTGCTCATATTTATAGGCTTTTTTTTAATGGATGATAGTAACCCTGCCTGCGCTAATGATATACGGTGGCGGTGTACCAGTGATAGGATATAGATGATAGATGACGATGAAAGCAGGTCAGTTAGCCCAACGTGAAGAATTCCACAAAAAGTATCCACGATGGTTTCCAGGGGGAACCACGTGGAGGTCGACATGATTAGTAACATTGCTAGCATTGGGACTGTTAGACCTAATCGCTAACAATCCCTTTCCCCCCCATGTCTATAGGCGACGATAACCACTTTCCATCAGGTGGGCCGTCAGCTTGTTTGCCATTCTAAGTTGTATAAAAAAAATTATAGAATACAGAGTTCTTAAGGAAAATATGAATACACTGGCGGAGTTATTTCATTTGTTTGTTATTTATTGTCAGTTAATTTAACTTATTTCTCTACAATAACCGTACTACGATGCTACGATAAATTGTATAAACAGCCATTGTTCACAATATTATAATATATCACTTTATATAACAGATTACACCATAGATTTACCATCCATTATTTTGTCAATCAAATTTATCGTTTATCAAAGTTGATCGTGAAATATTTCTACGTACACACATGTATGTTTACTTCAATGTAAGAAAACTAAAAGTCGTTACTGGATTTGTATTACTTTCTTATACAACTTAGAATGGCAAACAAGCTGACGGCCCACCTGATGGAAAGTGGTAACCGTCGCCTATAGACATGAGCAGTACCGTGGACATAACAGAGTATACTGTTTCGCCCATGATACCCCCTCCCCCATGCGTTGCCATTCCTGAGGACTCAGGTGTTATTCCTCTGTACCCAGTTTTACTGACATATCCTAAATATCCCTAAATATCCCCGAATCGTTACATACATAGGTAATACGCCGGATTTATTCATTTTATTGCATTACAGTGGTCAAGATTCCCTCGTTAGTCGCTTTTAAAGGACGATCTTCACGAATTTCGTCATTCTGAGAAGCCCGTCCAAGTTGGACTTCGGCGTACTATCTCTTTACAGCATTTAAATGTGGTACTTACCTTCTAAAAGCCTTTTGAAGCCGAACGGTACCATTTTGAGGAGAAAAATCACTTTTAAAATCATTGAAAATCATTGCTCTAAAATTTTTTCGCTTTATTTACATTTTCACTAGTTGGTAAGCTTCAATGTGTCACAAAAAATCATTGTCAACTTTCCCGCCAATTTTTTTTTTCTAAATAAGTAAGAAGGTTCTACGCACGGAGTTCTACTTTTTAAAAAATATATTCTAAATTCAAAAAGTTGTGTTAAGCCATGTTTTATTATTACTAATAGTGTTTATTATATCTCCTTCCAGCCCGTATCTGCTCACGACAGCCCGACTGCGCGGGAATAAGCAGCAGTTCCTGCGTGAGGACCCACTACGACTCGGTCACTAGATGTCTCTGCGGTGACAACTCCTCACCGGTCAACGGCCAATGCGAGGCGCAGTCGAAAAGTGAGTCTTTCATAGACAAAATACCGTCATTTTTTTTTAAATCAGATGAATACCTCTGATGCTTTGCCATTCCTGAAGACTAAGATTCTCTACTCTGTACCCAGTAACTTCACTACCATATCTTACCCTTCAAACTGAAACACAGTCACGCTTAGCACAGCTGTTAGCCAGCCAGAAGCAAGTTAAAAAATGTGACCTTTTTTCTCTTCTATACGTATTTCACAAATAAATATCAAGATATTAATCTTATCAAATGTATAAAACGTTCAACCCTTGTTACCTCACTAGGCGCTATCTAATTTCCGGCACTAGACAGAGACGGATGCCTAATTACCACGTGTTCGAGCGGGACGAACGGTTGACCTTAAAGCTAGGGTTGTAACGCGATGTTTTCGGTTTTGCGTGCGGCCATAGTTTAACACGAACTAATAATGGTTTTTGTGGCCTTTTCATATGAAATATTCCTATTTTATTCCTTATCAAGATGTATATAACATTAATTAAAAATGGCCGGTCAATTAAACCCCTTTCGCGTATTATGATTCTTAAGACTTATTATGCTACTAGTTATGTCCTATGTGTTTCTTCTAATGGAAGATAATGGAATGGTAACCCTGCCTGCGCTATTAATATACGCTGGCGGTTTTTTTTTAATGGGTGATAATAGAATGGTAACCCTGCCTGCGCTATTGGTATAGATTGGCAAGGCACCAGTGAAGGATGATAGGTGACGAACTTCACTAGAATTAACCACGATGGTTTCTAAGTGGAACCACATGGAGGTCGACCTGATAGGGTGGGTTGGCAATGGGTTCATCAGACCCCATCACTGACAATCCTTTTCCCCCTGCTGGCGGGGTACTAACCCCGTAACCATGTATACATCACTGGTGTGATGGATGATAGATGAGAATGAAACATACGAAGCGCACAGGTTCCTAGGGTGACCCACATTAAAGTCAACCTGATGGGTATATTGCTGGCAGTGACCCTGTTAGATCCCACTACGAACAATCCCTTACCCCTTCGTCAACTCATACTGGTGTTGGCTTATCTTCGCAAAAAATAGGAAAAGGCTACAAGAACAATAATGGTGAAGATGATAATAGGCAAATTTTGGGGGGAAGGGATTGTCAGTTATGGGGTGTAATGAACCCATTACTAGTAGTATACCCTATCAGGTCGACCTCCATCCGGTTCCCCTGGAAACCATCGTGGTTAATTCTAGTGGAATTCGTTACGATGGGCTGGCTAACTGACCTGCTTTCATTCTCATCTATCATCACTCACTGGTGCCTCGCCAGCGTATCCCGTTAGCGCAGGCGGGATTACCATACCATTTTCACCCATCAAAAAAAAATAGGCAAATTTTTACGTTTTTACAGCTTTGGCCATGTGGTCCCGGCATAGAATGAGCCACCCTTTCGTTTCCCGTGGATATCATAAGCGACTAAGGGAAAGCGAGAAATTGGCAGCAGCGTTCCTCTTCAAACATCTCCAAAGCCTAACTGCGATTGCCAATCCGCCTGCCAAGCGTGGCAACTACTGGCAAATTCCCCTAAGAAGGAGGCTTAAGTTCAGCAGTGGACAGTTAAACTTTTACGTGTACTTTCCGTTTCTTTAACCACCCAGATCACCACCCCACTCCGTACTGAAACAACCTTCGTGTAATTTATAGTAATTAAGACTAACTCTAGGTTTCGTGTTACAAAGAAGTTTAATAGTTAACTATGTGTGGTGTGTAGCCATGAAATATAATTTGTATATTTTTAATTATTTAAAACTTTGATACGGATCTCGTGAAACGAAACGTACGTAAGTTGCCATATACGAATTGTAAAACTACTGAATATTATGTTATTCTCATTCTATTTTTAAATTTGATTTTTTCATAATACTTACATCGTATATTAGGTATTTTTTTAAATAAATAAATATATCTTTCTTCTCGTTTTGTCATTCTTGTTTGAATACATCTTGTAATTTCAATGCCTGCCTCTTCAAACTGAAATACAATCATGCAAGGATAATTACTGTGGGGAGAGTATTGTAAATAATGGAGTCTAGCAACCCCATTGTTGACAATAATAGAGTACTTGACTACAATAATTTCCAGGATAGCCTGTGTGAACTTAAAACTGTACTTGAAATGGTACAAAATAAATGAATGAATGTTCGTAAAACATTTCGGTGTTTGCCTAGGCTAAGATACTTGTTTGCCGTGTGGCCCCAGCATAGAATGTTAGAAACGACAAAGGGAAGTTAATTGTCGAGGGATGAGCAGCAGCGTCCCCCTTAAAATATCACCAAAGACTAACTACGGTTGCCAACCCACTTGCCAAGCGTGGCAACTACTGGCAAAACCCTCCTTTTGGGAGCAATAGACAGTATATGGCTGATATGATGATGATGATGACAAGTTGCTAATACTGATTCAAAAAAAGTTGAGACAACAAGTAGTGATGAAATAAAATTCCGTTCCAGCCCTGTATCACGTGTGCACCGGGAGCGAAGAGTGTAACGACGGCCTCATCTGCGCCAGCCCGAACATCACCAGCGCCTCACCTCCTCACTACCGGGTCTACACGCCGCAAGACAAGATTTGCCTGTGCGATAAGGAGAACGGCTTCGTCGAGAGAGAACACACTTGCAGTGGTATTTATCGATTTTAATGCAAGATTCCCATACGCCACCACTTGTTTTGATTATCGACGATTCATACTTATAATTTGTCTTTAATGACAACTGTTTCAATAATAGCACGACGTAACTTACCCAAAAGATTATTAGATAAAAGATGGATTATCCTGATTGTCTTTGTTTTATAATAGAAATTTAATAACAATATGAACTTTGTTCCAGACGCAGACATTTTGAAGACCTCCCTATTCGCTATAATTGTCGTGACGTGCTTAAGAAAAATAGTAGCGTATTAAAACACCTTTCCTACCTTGTAAATTATACATATCATTTTATTATTAATAATTAGTAAATGACAATTACGAAATAGCATCAACTGATATGTACGCTGCTTTTGGGTAACTTTAAATAAATGGGTTTTTATAATCTTTTATTAAATGGAGAAGATTTAATCAAAGATTTAAAGTTGCCCAAAATTATTAGTTACTCTAGAGACGTGCACACTTTTTTTTTTGTTAATATGATATTTTAGAGAAGATTTATTGAGCTATATAATTTCGAATATTAAATTATAATATTAAATTAAGCTGAAAGACATTATTGATTCGAAATAAATGTACTTTAATACAATAAAAACAATAAATACGTGTAGTAACAATAAATCACTAATTAGGATTTATAATCAATACGTAATAAAATAATATGTTCAATGATTGGTACAAATTCGTATTATTATTTAGATAAAGAAAAAAAAAACAAAAACAGTAGTAAAATGTTTGTAGAAGCATTTATAGATTTCATATGACATCACCCAACATTCGTAGATAGTGCATTCTCTGACACTAAGGGCATAACACTATAATTCACAGGTATGGTAACGCATCCTAGTTTTGTTTGTATCTGTAAGTGATAGTTGCTTCTTCCAAAGACGAGGCAGAATACTTTTCAATTCAACTACGGTATTTTTAATAATAATAATAATTACTGTTTTTATTGAATAATATATTATATTTAGTTAGATCTAATAGCCACCGAACTAGGCCGACCGTGTATCTCAGTGGATAGTTAAATAACTTCCTTTGACTTAAATATTTATAAAAGACGTTACAATATCGAATATAAACACACTCAAATTTGCAGTGTCTAAGATAGTTTGGATACAACATTTTTAGTTAAATATGAGTATACTCTCATAAAATATTTATAATAAAATCTGCTTCAGGTAGTATTGATTCAACAATACTTGTTATTATAACAGTAAAATATACGTGGCGATATTGTCGAGTATGTTTTCAATTATCTACTCTCCTGGTAAATAGAGTTTACAATTCGGTGCCGTGACCAGGATTCTCTTCTATCAACCATGAATTACTTTGTACTTTAGTAACTCGTTGTTGTTGAGGAAATGAAAAACAAACATTTTAAACTATGACTATATGGGTAAAGATTGTTTAAAAGTAGTTCCTGGGTGTCCTTCCATTTATATTTGTTCGAATAAAAAAAATACTAACACCTCAGAGAAACTGTTAAAATCTATGCCATTTATGTTTAATTGACTATAATATCATCATGGAATGAATATAATTACACTGTATAATATTTTGAATCAATCTTTACACAGTGTAATTAAAAAAATAAAAATTACATAGATTATATTAATCCATTCATCGTAATTTAATTACGCTTAATTATTATTATATTTTTAATGACTATTAGAATTTATTCATCAATATTCCTTCACAATAGATCTCTGTCGGAATAAATACTAGAATATGCATTACTAAATTTATTGTATATTTTTTTAATCTTCAAACGTAAGAATAAATGTATAATAGACTTTTTAAAATGTATTTTAAGCACAGTTGTAATAACATAGTATTTGCACAGACAACAATTTAAATGAATAATAATCGTAATAAAGTTATTTGTCGTTTTAAATGTTCAAAATTATCAGAAGTAAACACTTATTATAAAACTGCTGATATTACTGCCTACTTATTATTTAAGATCATCATCAATCACTCTAGTGTTGCAAGTATTTATAGGCTGCAATAGTCATATGCTATTAGTCTAGCCGTATGCTTAATTGTTACACTCGTTGTATATGAAAAAATAGTTTATAACCATTTATAGTATAATGTTATTTAAATTTAACACACATGGGTTCCTATATATGAAGCTGATATATATTTAAGTATTTACTTTTTTTTTATAAAAAAATTCACAGCAAGAATATAAAAATGTGAAATTATAAATTAGTAAATCAAATTTGTAGGTAGAAATGTTGCATTGTAAATTAACAGGCTACAAAGTAATCTTTTTGAGCAGGCTACCAAACAAAGCATATAAGCAGATATTTTCAAAAAACTTCACATACACACACTCTTTATAATATCCTTACGACATCTTTGCAGAAAGACTATTCTTAATCTATGGTTATATCAATTTAAAATTAATATATACTATATTTATGTATTAACAAATTACCATAGACAGAATTACTACACATAGTCGAAAACAGTGTATCATATTTTTAATAGCCCATTATAAAAATCCCAGAGGTCACAATTATTAACCTTTCATACAACTAGAGGAAGAAGAAGACAAAAAATAAAATATTTTATTAGTGAGCAGAGTATTAGCAGTTCGTTGATTTGTTATTGAGACTTTTTTTAATATACGACGCTCCATCTAGATTATACAAATCAATATCTACATGTTTTTGCTAAATAGAATAGATGTAGTCACATTTCAAGTGCCTATAATTAAAATATAACGTCCACTATATTAAATGTAACAATTGTAAATATTTTGTTTTCTATATTATTGTATTAAAAGCACAGTTTTCAGAATAAATATTAAAACGCTTTGAATGTCTTTTATTACTGTTTATTTTATTTTATTTCAATAGGTAAATATTACAGTGAATTAACAATGTTATATTAATTTATACGGTATAATAATGTTTTGTTCAAGCTAACCCTCCAAAAATATACGTTCACAGTATGATCAAACATAAACACACAGCTAAACAGTCTGACAATATATATATATATATATATATATATATATATATATATATACATACAAACATGGAGTGGGGAGCCAAGCCTATAAAAACCGGGTAGTTCATCTTTTTCGTTGGCCAACTCACGAGGAGCGCATACGGTGTGTAACGTGTTTTGCTGTAATCAATACATTATTTTTCAATTACTTAAGATTGGTAATTTGTTTGATTTATTATTTAAATATCGATACCAAAATCTTTATATATCAATTTAAATTTACTTGAATAGAATTAAGGCCGTGTAGTCCCGCCAATCCGCCTGCACAAACGTGGCCACTTCTGGCAAACCCCCTATAAGAGGAAGGATTATATTCAGCAATTAACGGTTGAAATAATGATGATGATATGAATGATGATTGATTGTAATTTGACATATTAGCTTTTAAATATATGTATAAAAATATTATTTGTATTTTGATTGAAAATTAAAAATTATTTAAAATTTTGTTACGTTTGTAAATATTTATATCAGAAAAGATGACTGTAAAATGAAAAAATATGTAATAATTTTAATTCTATAGAGAAAAAATTGGGTCTCGACAAAATGTATCCTATAAACTATTTTTTTATTTATATAGAGAGTACAAAGGTCAAACATTTCGATTATTCTTTATTCTTAGACAGAGGTGTACAGTTTTTTTTTTATTTAAAAAAATCTTTATTAGGTACGTATTTCTTAATCTAAGTCATATTTAACTATGCGGTAAAAAACTTACACTCGAACCATAGCTGAAGTTTTTTCATTTGCATATGTCACATTGACAGCTGCTAACGTCAACGTCACGTTTCACATTCGATCTAAAAAATACATTTCCTAATGCTTTGTTTTCTATTTCCATATATTTTATTAATAAATTTATAAAATGTCTAATGACCCGCTTAACGAAATATTAGAATTTTTAAAGCCAGAGGCTAGGATAGATTTAAAACATATATCATTGGACCACTTGGTTGGATTGTCCGGTACTGAAGAAGGTATCTGCACATTGTTACAAAATGAACAAATAATTCGTAATGTAATAGAATTAAGTGACGACAAAGTGGAGGAAATCGCTAAAAATGCTCTACTTCTTCTTGTAAACATCACAGCAACCGCTAAGGGGGCGGCAGAATTGTTAAAATACAAACCAAATACACATAAAAACATATTAGAATTACTTATAGGTTATGTTCTGAATCCACAGAAGAGAAACGCCGATGCGGCGTGTATGATACTTTCCAACGTTACTAGACTGGAAAATCAATTGGAAATATGTATAGACACATTTTTACCGCATTTAAATGATATCTTAAATGCATTTGTCAACATAGAATTTAACAAAAAAGGATCTAACCTCAATTATTTGGCGCCAATGTTTAGTAACTTAAGTTGTAGTAGTAGAATAAGGAAATGGCTGACCGAGGAGAGTCCACATGTACCATTAATAAAATTATTGCCGTTTTGTAACTTTGATCAGTCAGTTATTCGAAGAGGTGGTGCTTTAAGCACTATACGTAACTTATCATTAGATACAGAGTATCATACATTCCTACTAAGCACAGAACTTGACTTGTTAACTTACTTATTGAGTCCGTTGATGGGCAACGAAGATTATCCTGATGAAGAAATGGATATGTTGCCAATAGCACTTCAATATTTACCGAAAGAAAAGAAACGTGAAACCGATGTTGATATACGTAAAATTGTGTTGGAGACATTGAATAAATTATGTAGTAAGAGGCACGGTAGAGAGATATTGAGGGAGAATGGGGTGTATTATGTTTTACGGGAATACCACAAGTGGGAGAAAGATCCTAAGGTGTTATTAACATGCGAAAATGTTGTTGATATATTAATACAGAAGGAGGAAGAAGTGGGCGCAGAAGATTTGTCTACAGTTAACGTACCTGATGATATGGTGGAGAAGTTTCAGAAGATGGATGAAGATTATTTAAAGAATGTTGAATAAATTATGTTGTATTAATATATTTTATTTATTGGAAAACCAACAGTTTACAATTTATAGTTTAAAATAACAATAATTCATCCACATAAAAAGCCAATAACAGATAATGATTTTTTGTTAAACTACTTTATTTTTAACATTGTATTTTATTTGATGTGTGGTCCTGGGATAGTATAAGCCAACTCTTCCTTTCCTATGGGCGTCGTAAGGGGAGTTTTATGGTTGAGGAATGGGCAGCAGCATCCCTCTTAAAATATTACAAAAGCCTATTTCCTGTTGCCAATCTGCCTGTGTGGCAGTGTGGCAACTATATACAAAATCAATTGTTACAGAGTAGGCTTATATTCAGCATTGTACAGATTTTTTTTAATGAGTGAAAATAGTATGGTGACCCCGCCTGCGCTAACGGGATATGCTGGCGGAGCACCAGTGAAGGGTGATAGATGAGAATGAAAACAGGCCAGTTAGCGCATCATGATGAATTCATCAGGAATTAATCATGATAGTTTCCAGGGGAAGCCGCGAGGTGGTCGACCTGGTTGGGTATATTGCTAGCAATGGGATTCTCAGTCTCCATTACTAACAATCCCTTTCCACCCGCATTATACAGATTGATACTCATATCATGATGATGATGAAATTAGTAATATGTTTGTCATCTTAGTCCTAAGGAATGGCAATACATGAGGGATATCATTGGCGAAATAGTATACGCTGTCATGTCTATAGGCGATGGTTCCACTTTCCATCAGGAATGCCATCTGCTTGATTGCAATACTAGTTAAATAAAAAAATTCAACATTTAATGACAGGGGGGTAAAGGGATTGTTAGTAATGAGGTCTAATAGCCACATTGCTAGCAATATAGTGTATATAGGCTCGACCTCCACGCGGTTCCCCCTGGAAACCGTCTTGGTTAATTCCTGTCGAATTCATCATGGCGGGCCAACTGACCTGCATTCATTCTCACCTATCATCTTCCACTGGTGCCTCGTCGGTGCCACCGATAGCGCGGGCGGGGTTACCATTCCATTATCATCCATTAAAAAAAAACATTTAATGACACAAGCTTAACATTAATTAATTAATATAATAAATTAAATTAAAAGTAGGTAGTCGCTATTTTGCAATATCAGCATTGCACTGCTTTCAAATAGCGTTTGTGCAATGAATCTAATAGGCACGTATCGTGGTTTCATATTTGAATAATATTTAGGGCCAATTGAAAATGAACGTTGTGGTTCGGAGATAGACAATATAATACATTGTCTATCTCCGAATCCATAACGTCCATTTTCAATTGGCCCTAAATTTGTCCGTAAGTCACGTATCTAAAGATCCAAAGTGACTCATAGACAAATGTGTCTCTAATTTTATTTAATTAGAGAATAGAAAAAAAAACATGCAAACAATTAATCGAATAAAGCGACTGGGGTAGAACAGAGGGAGACTTGTACAAAAGTCGATTGCTTGGGTACCTCTGTCCCATTCGTGTTTCAACCGTGAAACAGTTGTGTTTGCATGACTGTGTTTCGGTTTGAAGGGTAGGATATGGCAGTGAATTTACTGGGTACAGAGGAATAACACCTGAGTCCTCAGGAATGGCAACGCATGGGGGGGTATCATGGGCGAAACAGTATACTCAATTATGTCCATGGTACTGCTCATGTACAGGCGACGGTTACCACTTTCCATCGGGTGGGCCGTCAGCTTGTTTGCAATTCTAAGTTGTATAAAAAAAAAATTAAAAAGTCATGATATTAATTCAATTATTTATTATTCCAATAATAAATTAGATAATAACTATTTTACATCTCGTGTATGGTCTTGAAACATATTTAATTCGGTACTGACAAATTTATAGACGTATATGGCATATTTATGGAATTAATCCCCCATTAATATTTCCCACAATAATCGACAGATACACATAACATTTATGTTATAATATTTACAGGTATATTTCTAATAATGTAATCTACACCAGGGGGAGTCTACCATGAAACGTTATTCCGAATTTTCGGACTCAACCGTGACGAATTCACAACGACATCGACCTAGTAATCGGAGATTAACAAGTCGTTCGTAACAAATCCTACGATAAAAGTCTAATGGAAGTGCATCGTGTAACTTTATCGTGAAATTTGTGTTTTATTCAGTCGCGACATTTCGAAAAACATTTCACAGTTGGTCCTCTTAGCCGGATTAACCGTGTTGGAGCCCCTAGGCGACGCACGTGTTGCTTCTAAAACAAGAACTACTGTACCACTGTCTTAAATATGACTATAAACTTAAAATACGTTAGGTAATATAAAAAAGAACAAATAAATTATATTTGAGGGTAGTTCTTTAAATGTAATATGCACTCGAAATAGTTTCTAAAAATTGTTGATTTTTTTATTTTGATCAATTTTTTGTCCAATGGATAATCCGGCCCTGATGTAGACACTAACTGACAAGATAGTATTTGCACTGTCTACAAAAATGATTCCTTTTTTTGGACAAAAATTAGACATTTAAAGTGGCGTTTCAAAAATGAACACTGCAAAATATAAAGTTGCATTAGAGCCGGGGGTCACACGAGTGCGATCTGTGACTAGGGGCACTATCTTCTCTGTTTAAACCAGACAAAAATTATAGACAGAGAAGTGCAATAAAAAAAAAAAAAAAAAAACATTTTATTTTATCCGAAAAATCATATACACAGTTACTACAAGATTTCTTATTTAACATTTTTTTTTTTTACATTTATATAGTAAAATATTACAGTTGGTTGTGACTTAGGTCTAAAACTAGTAATACTATTTAGGAGGGGGGGGGGGGGACGACGACGACGACATGAACGACACTTCAGAATTCTCTGGTGCCCACCTCACGATACAATAACTTGCAGCTATGTGGAAAAATATGTCTGAGAATAGAAACGTACCTTTAAGGGACTAACGTGCTTAAAACAATATAGAATTTTTCATATAAAATATATATATATCTATTATATGTCAACACACTATGAAATTTATTATATATTTAATTATATAACAAAAAAAAAAGTCCTAAAAGATAACACCTTATAGTCATGGTAAATTCTAAATTTTAAGTTCTGCTTCTCAAATATAGACTGTAAAACAATTCCTCTTTGGTATAAGTCAGTATATATATGTATATTAACCTCCTAATACATAAAAAACACTCAAAATTCTCGCAAACCTATTTTAGCTATTAAAATCTTTTGTCTCTTTCTTTTACACAAAATTCCTAATTTGAAAGAAAGTGACAAACCAGTAGTAAACTAAAATAAGTAGGTTTTAGTTTGTTTTTTATGAATAAGGGGGCACTTTTTTGTATGTGGCCAGTCATAATAAAGATTTTACAACACAATACAATAATTAGTACATCAACAATAATATTATATTAAAAAAATAGTAGGTACCTATTGTACTTAACTAGTATGTCGAATATGAAACCTGAAGATTAGCACCGTTCAATATTTAAATACACTCGTGCGCAAATGGCCATCTCTAGCCGTCTCATTCTTTCTTATTGCTTCAATCGCTCTATCCCTTTTTTAATTATATAACAGCGTGGTAAAGTGCCTACATGTGTATACTGTCGGTGTTCGAACCATTTATTCAATTATTAATTGTTTTTTTTTTTTTATCATTTTAACTTTTTTGTAAAATCATTATATTTAATCTGGATCTGTGGGTAAAATTGTGAATTCCAATTATTTGCCGGCGTCCTTACTAGTGATAATATGTGGGGCGGAAGGGGGGTTATTAGTAATGATACAGCGTAAAGAATTACATTTCATACAGGAGTTTCACGAAAGGGTTAACTTTTAAAGGGACGTAGATTATTAATGGCGGATGGCAATATTTTTAATTTTCGAATAAGTTTTTGATAATTTTGACAAAATTTTGACATACTGGGTCAAAGTAGCGAAACTATACGAAACACGACTTAATTTTTTAATTTAGAATTACATAAAATTTTTAAATTTAAAATAAATATTAACTCGCCAAATTACAGTTAAATTTGACCAAACTTAATCAAATTAGCTCAAACTTGGTTAAAATTGAATAAACTGGCAAAATTAAGTCAAATTTGTCCAAAGTTACTTAAATACGACAAGAGTCGACACTCGATTGAACCTAATTAACCTGAATTACCGATTTGGTCGAGTCGAGTAAAATTTTAAATTTAGAATTTATTCGAAATTCAAATTTAAAAAGTTTAGAAATTATAGATTGTAGAGTTTAAAGATCATAGATTTTAGTAGTCCATAGAGTTCAGAGTTTATAGAGTTAAGAGTCGAGAGTTTAGAAAAATCAAAGGTATTTTGCATAAATATTATTCCCTAAGAAAATAAATGAAAAATTGTCAACCCTTTCGTGACGAATGTGGCATGACAACAGACAAATTAGACGACAAATCACTGTATGAAGACTCTTTACACTGTGACAATGGGGACTGGCAGTCCTATTCCCACCAATATATTAGGTCGACCATCGTACGGTCTTCCTATATAATACGGTGAACTATCACGGTAGTGATCTTTCTCTCCTATCACCCCCCACTGGTGCCCCATCAGCACTAACCGATAGTGCAAGTGGGGTCACCATCAAAAAATGTAATATCTCGAATTAGGACACTTCTGTCGTTGTTAACATTACGGCCAGCCATATGCCAGTGTGTATACTAAATAGCAATAGTAAAGCACCTAATTGTTTTAAATTAATTCCATACAAAAATATATACATTTTATTATACTATGAATTATAAATGACAACTGTCATTTATAAATATTATTTCTTTATCATAATATTTAAAGAGTTTTCTTTCTTTCATATATATATATATATATATATATATATATATATATATATATATATATATATATATATATATATATATATATATATATATATATATATATATATATATATATATATATATATATATATATCGTCTCGTTGACGATAAAAACTTTTAACGTAAAACTGACCTCTGTATTAAATATCAAATTTGAAGTCAAACCATTTAATTTAATTAAGAAATAAATAAATTATACATATTCCAATGGTAATTTAAAAATAACAATTCAATTTTGTATTTATATCATGAAGGTGGCAACATGCATACAGCCCGTCTGATGGTAAACGGTCACTGTAGCCTATGGACGCCTGCAACACTAGGGGTGTCACCAGTGTGTTGCCGAACCTAAAAAAACTATAATATCCCTTTTTAAGAGAAAAATTCCTTCAATTTATCATGCCTTTGGATTCTTATACATACTTCACGCCTCAAATGTATTTGGTTATATACACAGAGTAGGTCACAATATACAGTTTGTTTCAATCACAGATGTTATTTCCTGTATAACCAGGCATCTTGTTTTGTATTTTAGATTTACCATAAAAGTTAATAAGCCCTGTCATTTTTTCATTGTTTTTTTTAAATTACCATAGTAATATAACCATGTAACTTCTAAACTATAAGTTTACACTCTATATGAATTGCAAAATCAAACAAATATTGTAAATTTAATTTGATAGGTAATAGAGGTCGGTTTAGTCTACCTAACTAACTAACTAACTTATCTGACTAATTCTCAGGCGGCTTATAGTTTTTGATACCTTCCATACGCGCCCTCCGCCTCTCGGAGGGCGTGGCGCCCTTTATTTTGGTAATGATGTGAGCTCCTTTCTTGGATAGGTCCGGTTTGTACGATGTGGTCGCCTCCTGGGCAAATTAAATTATATATTATATATTTTTCCTTTTATCTCCTACTATTATATAGATAGATAGATACTCTTTATTGTTGCCTCCAAAAGATTACAATAGTAAACTTATTATAGATACAAACAATTACAAGAAATAATCACAATGAGAGAACAATGGGCGACCTTATCACTAAGAGCGATCTCTTGCAGGCAACCTTTGGATGGAGAGGAGTAATTATAAACAGTTTGATTGGAGGCACGATGAATAAATAAATATATTATATTATATTATTATATATGTATATAATTTATTTACATTACTTACAGCACACAAATAACAACACACATAGATATATACACAAAAAAAAATATTATATTATTAGATAAAAGAAGTAACATAATTTTTTATTTTGTAGGTATGCCAGTTTTAAAAAAAAATTTAATAAAGAAATTTTATAGATGTAACAAGTTAAAATAAAAAAATATTTGAACAAAATTTATTTATTTATTATTATTTATAATAAATGAAAATTCGAGTTTTGACTGTGATATGTAATGACCTTCTTCTGATCATGATGTTCTTGTAAGAATTAAAATCTATTTACTCACATCATCCCAGTTCTCTTCACTTGGTATGATGGCGGGAGGTGGTTGGACCTCCACAGTGGGCCGGTAATCATCGTCCACCACGTATATTTGAGAATCCAGCATGTACCGTTTACGGCAGCATGACACATGGTACTGGAAAAAATTGTTACTATTGAACTGTGAAGAGACCAAACAGTGTGGTTGTTTGTGAGAGAATGGGCCATATATTATATTATATTATTATATAGTATATAAAGAAGAGACTGAAGCACACAAATAACAACAAAAAATATATGCAAAAAAAAATGTTAAAGTGATTAAATTTTATACCCATTGTTATTATTTATATGTTTATTTTGGACAATAATCACTTTTTTTTTATTTTTTTATTTATTTCGAATTAGCCACACCAGTATACATATTATACATAAATTAAATAACATTTTTTGTGTAGCATGCTGATATACATACCTATAGCAGGCGTACACAACATTGACTACAGATTACATGCATATAAATGTCATAATATAATTAATATAATAAATTTACAATTACATATTCTTTATTAAAAAATATCACTGTATATAATTTATCCATTATTTCTTTTTTTTTTTTATAACACTGTAGGGGGCAAAGGAGCATATGTCACTATTATATATTTACTAATTAAAATATTTCGCCTTTCCTAATAAGCAAAGGGACAACAGCAATTAAATAAATAATATGTTGTTATAAAAAAAAATTATTGTCTGAATAAAGGCTTATCTTCTATTATTATTATAACAAAAATATTTATTTTTGTAAAACTTAATCACTTTCACTAGGATAATATCTGAATAATATTTTTTTTTATAAACTACCCACTTTACACAACAGAATTTAATGGTCCAGAGATGGGCAGTACCAAGCATAGCAATTACTGGCAAAACTGCCTTATGGGAGAGCCTTATGTTCAGCAGTGGATAGTTAAAAGCTGATGTGATATTGACGGGGACCAAACCCGCACCCATAAAAAGGGAAGACGGTATATTTATGCCCTTGGTCCTGGGATAGAATAGGCCATCCCTTCTTTATACTCGAGTGTCGTAAGAGCTAAGGGAGGGCGAGGGATGAGCAGCAGTATCCCTTTTAAAACTACTAGCAAAACCCCCCCGAGAGGAAGGCTTATGTCCAGCAGTGGACGGTTAAAGGCTGATATGATGACTATCCAAGGTTTTCTTACATCTAGTTCAACATCGTTGACAATGTGAGTGGCGTCAAAAGGACACGTCACTTTCTTGCAACCTGGGTATTGCTTCCTGCACTTTTGCAGGTGGATATGCATTCTGTAGTGCTCCACTTGGTGCGCCATGTTGTATGGACACGACATCATTTGGTTGGGCTGAGGATCCGCCATAATTCTGATAAAAAAAAGAAGGTATTAGAATTTTTTTTTATTAAATTTCATGAAATGTTCGAAAAATAAATTAGTAGGTACTGCGATAAACAATAGATTTATAAAAATAATTAATAGATAGATAAAAAAGAAATATAATTTGAAAGGATTTATATGGGATAGGAGTTTCGTTGTAAGAAACTTTCTTTGGCGGCTAATTTTATGTAGGTACCTGTATTTATGTAGGTAACAGATTTCTTCTAAAAATTACAATACCCGTTAAAACTAACGATATACATTCAGTACAATTTAATCAGTTTGTACAATAATCACATATAATTTGCTACGCACGTAATGTAACAACAAAAACAGAGTGTGGACGCGGAAAAAAATTTGCACAAAATGCAATGTAAGTCTAAGAACGGTCGTAACTAACCGCGACAATTTTTTTCTAATCTACGATTTTTTTTTTAACAAGATGTTTACGGCTCTGGAAACTTGTCTTTACGAGCCTCTAATTTATGATTCGAACTAATGTGACCATCTCATTAATAGAAAATGTGCCACAGACAAAATAATAAAAAAAAATTCTAAAATCTGCTACATTTGCCGTTATAAATATACTTACAAGGGGATGAAAAAAAAAATACAAAATGAATTCAATAAAATTTCTTTACTCAATAAAAATATTTACTCTACATGTCAATATTTGCCTCTAAATTTTCGTCTTCATTTTTCAAGTATTTTTTCTTATTATATATATTATTGTTTTTAGTTAATTTCCGTATTCTTTTATCTCCTTTTTGTGGTAATTGTAGCTGAAACATGTTGGTTTAGGAATCTATCCCTTATTTTTGTTTTATTTAGATTCATCTGAGAAAAAATTCTTTTGCACGAAGCCTTCGACATGGGCAAACATAATAAAGTTTTCGCGAAATTTGTTATATAATATTTAGATAGTCTATTTACTATATAGATTTTAACAAATCTCTTAGACATTTATCAAATTTCATTTGCTGAAGTTCGTCATCAACTTTTTGAATGTTATTTTCGTCTACTATGTTGTGAATCAATCGTCGCAATATTTAAAAATACGTGGTTAACGTATGTTGAATCATTCTTTATTTAAAGACATAATGTTAAGTTTCCCAATTATTTTAAATATAACTACTCACAATGTTTACATTCTTTGAACGACTGAATATGTCTTTAAATGCTGTGTGAACTGTTGTTTAGTGTGTTGTCTACAATATACAATCTAGTGCATAAAAACACAGTTTATATATCTTGTCATTCAAACTACTGAACAAACTTCCGATTAAATATTTGTCTTTAAAAACTGCGTGAAAAAATGTTTAAAGGTGTCAATCTTGCTTGAAATATAATGTTTAGTTTTTGATGCAATATAAACGTGCATAAAAAAGCATGTTATATATTTGTCATTTAATTCATTTTTCTGATTAAATATTTAGTCTTCCAAAAACTGACGACTGAAAAAATTGTTTAAAGGTGTCTCATTGCTCTAAAATTCTTTTGATGCAAACGTCAAAACAAAGCCTGCGAATTTTGTAATACCTTAATTCCTTTTATACAACTTAGATTGGCAAATAAGCTGACGGCCTACCTGATGGAAAGTGGTAACCGTCGTCTATAGACATAAGCAGTACCATGGACATAACAGAATATACTGTTTCGCCCATGATACCACTCATACGTTGCCATTCCTGAGGACTCAGATGTTATTCCTCTATACTCTGTAAATTCACTGCCATATCCCACCCTTTAAACCGAAACACAGATATTCAAACACAACTGTTTCACGGTAGAAACACGAATGGGACAGAGGTACCCAAGCAATCGACTTTTGTACAAAGTCTCCCTCCTATTTTATGTTTTTCGGTAAAGGTAAATTGTGTTACACTAGCATACCACGAAAATTTAGTTCCAGCGTTTTTACTTCTTCTTTTAATGAAGATTTCTTAAAAAAATAACTGTACAACGTGAAACAGTTTAATAAAATAATTATTTTTGAAAAATCTCTGAAGAATCTGATTACATGTTCAAAAATGTTTTTAAGATGATCTTTGCTTTTTTAAACAAGATAGTCTAGTAATTAATTTACAGTTGCAAGCTTTATAGAATGCAACGTACTGGCCTTCTTCTTAGCCCTCGATAATCAGGAAGAAAGCATGGGATCTTGGACCCACTCAGGTCGATAAAAACGTTTCTATTTTCTTTTCATAATTGATGATTCATTACATAAAATCGAACACAATATACACCAAAAGAGAATGAGGTAAAATCATAATTTGATTAGTAACCAAATCAATAAAGGAGATTAGAAACACTATTGCAGTTTCTTTACAGTTCATAATCAAATGACGCACTTGTTTAAAAACAGAACAAGCGTGATATTCTCGTATAATCTGACTAAATAATAAATAATTTATACTGTAATTATATAACTAATGTAATTATTTGTAAAAAGATGAATTTATTGAAAATTCAAATTAAGTAATGTGAATTTTCTTGGAATCTTTCAAATCTGTCAAAATTTGCCGTTTTTGTAAATCATTAGTATGATCTGCCACGGACATAATTTGGGAGCGAAATTTGCCAAAGCGGCATAAATTTACCACAAATGGTCACATTGGTTTCAACTACCTACCATTTGTTCTCTTTGGTCTATACAGCAGTCTAATCTTGTTCTCAGATAGCAGTTGCTTCAGTCTAGACCATAGATACAGAACCGATTTAGATTGACATTACTATCTATAGTGAGTTACTGACATTGACTTATCTAAACTGAAAATGAATGTAACTTTTTTCAATTTTAATTTTTATTTATTATATGTTTTTAAATTAATAATATAATATTATTAATATTTAATACGTATTTCAATTTTAAAAACACTTTCACAGGAAGATAAAATGGAAAAAGTATTTCAAGATCCCGTTCAACTTTCGAAAGGTATAAATTTGAGGTGAGTAAAAAAACAACATTAAAATTGTTTATCAAATAAAATTAAGTTTTCGCGTTTCACTAATTTCTAAATTGCGCCTTAATGGTAAACACCGCTACCTATATGCACTCGTAATATCAGAGAAAATGCATGTGTCTTGCCGGCCTTTTAAGAAGGAATAAGCTGGTTTCTAAAAGGTCTTTGTTAAAAAATGTTCCCTTGTGCCCTGACATAAAATGGGTGTGGGTGTCCAAAGAAGTGACTAATGGAACTTAAGGGTCGAGGGATTGGCAGCAGTGTCTCTTTTAAAACATGATCAATATCTAACTGTAGTTTCCAAACCGCCTTCTAAGTGTGGCAACTACTGGCAAAATTTCCTAATAGCCGGAGGCCTGGGGAAGAAAGATTCTTAAGTAGTGACCACATATGGATAAATGCAGTGTAGCACGCTGCCTCACTAGATGGATGACCTGAATTGCATTGCAGGGAGTCAGTGGATACAGGTGACTCAGGATATATATATATATATATATATATATATTTAAATGACTATGTAGACAATTTTAGAAAATTAACACCATGGACACTTGCCATTCAAGTGATCATTTAATGTGTAATAAATAGGCTTTATTCAATTAGTGTTTTTTAATAACAGTTTTAAACTTATTAAAAGGCAGATCTAAAATATCCTTTGGTATCTTATTATAACATTTAACACTCATTCCCATAAAAGTTCTATTAACTTTTTTAACAGGATACTTTATTCAAGTTTTAAGAACAAACTTATTAAAAGGTAGATCTAAAATATCCTTCGGTATCTTATTATAACATTTAACACTCATTCCCATAAAAGTTCTATTAACTTTTTTAACAGGATACTTCAAGTTTTAAGAACAAACAAATTTTTTTTTTAACTTATTAAAATATTAATAAATTTGATGTCACACTGATTCCTCCTAGCAGCGGAAAAGATAAAAAATCTATTTATTTCAGGGAACTGATGACATCGGCAACAGAGTTTCACATTGACATGGATTTTAAAAAGAAACAAAGCGAGATGTGTTTAAACATGGACGAAGATCTATATCCAGACTTAGACGATGGAGAGGACAGGTTGGTTTCTTAAATTCTAATTTTTTTATCTTTATGGAAAATTTGTAATTGGTAGCATCCTTTGAAAGAAGTGTTGTACCAGTAAAACACAGTATTTTTATGGAAGGAACATGAATGGAAAAAGAGCAAACAATATTGAGCCTCTTGTATTGACAAGGCAGATTAGGCTTAGTACTGAAACATAGTTCAAATTTATTATTATTATATATACATTTCAAATTTGTTTAGTTCTAAACTATGTAATATAATATAATGTAAATTGAACTCTATTTTCTGTGCTAAGCCTGTCATTTGGGTCACTGTGTGACAGAGTTATGGTTAGTACAGGCAGCCCAGCTCCATCCAGAAGCACAAAAGCTTCCTGGTATTCACAGGCCTCACAGAGCGAACTCACCGTTCTGAGGATTTCTAAATGTTAATGGGTCATTGTTTCATATTCCAAGATTATGAGCAACTGTTTCGTGTGCATCAAAACAGCATCGACATAGAGGGCTGTATGTGGCTCCTATTGTGTATAAATGTTTGTTTAATGGACAATGGTTGATTATTGTCCCTATTATTGTTTCAAGGTTTTTCCTGTCTAGATATAATAGACGTTTTGATAGTCCTCGACTCAACATTGGCATGGCCAATTTTGATTGTCTGCAATCAGTAGCGGGTAGTTCTAGACCACTCTAGAAAATTCTTTTTTTATATTTCTGATAATTTTCCAAATTGGTTTACAACTGACTGAGTTATGAGGTAACAAACGTAAAAAAAATGGAATCAAATTGAGAGCTTCCTTCTATTTGAAGTCCTTTGTAAAGAGCTCTTCACACCCTTTAATTTTAATTTTTCTTGACAGTGATGTTGAAGATGTGCTAAAAAATATTGAGGACTCAACAGACAAATTGATGCTCGCGTCCCCGGAGTACCTGTCCTTCAGCGAGCTCTCGGCCAAGATGGTGGACTGCGTACCTAGTGGGGATGTTAAAATACTGATCCTGGAAGAAGGTATGAAATATTATTATTTAATAATATATTATTTAATAATTATTATTCTTACGGAAAATGTTTAAAATATCACAACATCAAGAAACTAAAGGGTAGTCCCTAAAAAAATATTTAAAAAATGTTGTATTATTTTTATGCCACTTAGAATGGCAATACCGATAGCGCAGGCAGGGTTACCATTCCAATATCATCCATAAAAAAAAGTCTTTATATAAGTTTATATATGTATATTCATATATATTTATGTATAATTTATTGGTATCTATTTATGTAAGTATTTTATTATTATAAGTATATTTTTTTTTTTATGCTTTATTTCTCTTTTTTTAATCTTATTTTTCTGTTACGCCTCGACCTGACACATTTTTAATTATTCCTCTCTATCCTAAGGTTGCCTGGCTAGCCATTGTTGCCTCTTCATCTTGCTTTCTTCACCTTTAAAAGTGATACAGTATCATTCTTTGAAGGGGACAATAAATAGTTTTCATTCATTCATTATTTGCAGGTGATGGTCCCTTGGTGCCAGTGGACGCTGAGGTAACCCTGCATTACGCTGCCTATTGGGAGAAGACTAAGATACCCTTTGATTCGACCCTCACCATGAATTCTGGTGCACCCATGGTATGTACATTGTTAGTTACGCTATTGTATATCTATTTATTTATTAAACTTTAACACACCTAAATAATGCTCTAAAAAATGCTTTTTGTCATTATTTTCACACCAGAGAGAGACTTTGTACAAAAGTCGATTGCTTGAGTACCTCTGTCCCATTTATGTTTCAACCGTGAAGCTGCTATGTTTGCATGGCTGTGTTCGGTTTGAAGGGTGGGATACGGCGTGAATTTACTGGGTACAGAGGAATAACACCTGAGTCCTCAGGAATGGCAACGCATGGGAGGTATCATGGGCGAAACAGTATACTCTGTTATGTCCACGGTACAGCTCATGTCTATAGGCGACGGTTACCACTTTCCAACAGGTGGGCTGTCAGCTTGTTTGCCATTCTAAGTTGTATAAAAAAAATCAAGCTATTAATACATTTATAACTAATGCTCTCTCACAGACGATTCGCCTGGGCGCCGGCCGTATCCTGCCAGGGTTGGAGGTGGGCCTGACTACAGTGCACGGCCCGACCGCCCGGTTCCACCTGCTGCTACAGCCGGCCGCCGCCTGGGGCCCGCGCGGGGCGCCGCCCCGGGTCCGCCCTGAGCCGGCCCTGTTCATCATATCTTTGTATTCGGTCAGGGATATGTATGCTACGGCGCGGTGAGTATATTAATTTTACTAATTACAGAACAGTAGGATTTATCCTGGTGTTTCCCAACGTAGGGCCAATTTGATAGTTAAGGGGGGAGGGAGCAATAAAAAATGGACTAGAAGTGATTTTAACCCCCTTGCTCTGGACCATTTAAATGCAATGCTACGAGTTCATATCGGTGTCAAATTTAACAAAAAAAAAATACTTATTGGGTATAATTTCGTTTGACGTTACCAAAATATCAACTGGGCGATTAGAGTCGTCAAGTAAACTTTTTCGGGGAAAATTATGTATAGGGGCATAAAAATTTTAGAAATGTTCAAGTGGGGCATGGCACAAACAAGGCTGGGAAACACTGACGCAAACGGGATATCGATTGCGTCACACTTTGAGGTCAAATAACTAAGGACGCTTATTGTCCTTAGACCCCAAAAGCAAAAAATCATAAAGCAAGGGATTACAATGAACAAAATATTTTTCTTTTATAATATTCGTCATCATTATACCAGCCTTTAACCGTCCACTGCTGGATATAAGCCAGCTTGGGGGGTTTTGCCAGTAGTTGCCACGCTTGGTAGGATTGGCAACCGCAGTCAGGCTTTAGAGATGTTTGAAGAGAGACTGCTGCCCGTCCCTCGCCCTCCCTTAGTTTTTATTGGATGAAAATGGAGTGGTAACCCCGCCTGCGCTAACGGGATACGCTGGCGGGGCACCAGCGATGCCAGGTGATTCCTAATGAATTCATCATGATGCCAGGGCCTATCATGATGAATTCATCAGGAATTAATCATAATAGTTTCCTGGGGAAACTGCGAGGAAGTCGACCTGGTTGGATATATTGCTAGCAATGGGATTCTCAGTCTCCATTACTAACAATCCCTTTTCCCCCCGCCCTCCCTTAGTTAGCTCTAATGACGCTCACGAGAAAGGAATGGATAGCCTTTTCTATGCCAGGACCACGTGGCCATTTATTTATAATTGTTTTATATAAATTCCTATATTTTGTAATATATCTATGACTATTTATTTACTTATTTATTTATTTCTAATATTATTTTGATTACAGATTTAATGACCTTCCCATGGAGGAGCAGAGGAAATTCGAGGTCACCGTCAAAATCGTAGATGCGTTACATTCCCAAGCAAAGGACATATTTGCAAAGAAAAAATATAAAAAAGCCATAAGGAACTATCAACAATCTATGTCAGTATTAGGCTTGTCCCAACCGAAAAACGAAGCGGAGGAGCAGCAAATTAAAAAGTTAAAAATTATTGTCTATGTCAACTTAGCTATTTGTTACTATAAAATAAATAAACCAAAGTATACATTGATTATGTGTGAAAACTTAGATAGGATAAGCGATTTAGATAAACATTGCAAAGCTCTGTATTATTATGGTAAAGCACATCAGATGTTAGGTAAAAACGAAGACGCGTTAATATACTATAAGAGGGCATTAAAATTAGAGCCGAAAAATAAAGAAATAGGCAAAACGTTGGCTGAATTAGACGATTATTTAAAAAGGTCGGCCGTGAAGGAAAAAGAAATGTGGCAGAATGCTCTTGGGTCTGCGCCTGTGGAAAAAAAAGAAAAAGTTTACAACGTGGACGAGGATTTTCAAAATGGCGTCCGCGATATGTGTCAAGATTTGGCGGGAAGAAATGAGTACAGTAAATTCGATTTGCCAACCGGCATGACGAAAGATGAGGTTGATTGTATCAAATCTTTGGCGAGTGATTTTGAAGGGCTTGTCGTTTTAGAAGATGGCGAGGGGAAGAGGAAGAAAGTTAGCATAGTGAAGAAAATGGCATAGTTATGTTTTATGTAAACAATTTTATATACAAAAACATTCATATCGAAGTGTGGCAGTGTCGAAATCTCTCACTTTGCTTTTTTTTTATTAAACTTAGAATGCAAAAGCTGATTTAAAGACCCATATTTAAGGGGTAGGAAGCCGTTCTCGTTTCGACTACCATTTTCTTTCTTTCTTTCTTTATTCTTTATTGTACACAAAAGGTTATTAAAATGTAAAAACAAACATTTTAACTCATATACGTCTAAGTTAAGTATGCACTTGTGTACTTGCAGTACTGAAGCGTCGGACTTGAATCACATTGTCTTCTCATGTCCAAAATTTTACCAAAACTCTCTCTGATATGTATTAAGGATGGTTCGCGAAGTGATAACAACTGGTATGCAAGAATACTGGTTTATTACTGACAGCGCATCAAGTCTCCCATTACTAATATATATGTAGGTAGATATAATTATGCTCATTATTATTAAAAGAGGGTAGCAGATACATCATCTTTCCACCCTAATTTTGAAACCTGTTGGAAAAACAAACAATACTTTATTAGGGTGCCTGTCCATGCCTAATAAGTACATTTTACATCTAAAAATATCTTAATACTAAACAAAATAAACTAGGCCTTCACTTAAAGAAAACTGTATAATCTACTTTCTTTCTAGGCCGTTTGGAACGTCCGGGTGACGATTGTATGGTGACTGGATTCTGAATGGTAGATGTAGTTTGAGGTATCTGAACCTCCGGTTCCTGTCCCACCAAATCCTCGCCCTCACGTTCCACCACTCTACAGACATTACCATCAGAATGAACAATACAATCTGCTACGTTTGTGGCTGGCACTTCGTTATCTTCCGCACCCCCCACCGAAGATGTGTTAACCAGGTTTTGCTCATTCAGTTGTTGTGGTAATACTGATACCGTAGGGGGTGGTGAAAATGACGGAGTCCCCTGGCCGTACACAGGACAAGGGTGGATGTTTTGTGGCTTACTTCTCCCATTATCAATGGTTTTTCCGCACTTGTAGTGTATTATTTGATCTAAGTGTCTAACACATGTAGTATTTAGATCATCAATGTATACCTTAAATAATCTATTACCAATAGTGTTTACAATTACACCTAATTTCCAATATTTCTTTCTAGCACTGTACCAGCGCGCCAATACCCTGTCACCATTTTTAAAAAATCTACTGGGTTTTGCTTTATTCCTGTCGCTGTTTTCACTATACGAATATTTATGTTTTGTAGGCAGTACTAAATCAAGTCGAGATCTTAGATTTCTACCAAACATTAATTTTGCGGGTGATTGACCTGTAGAACAGTGTATGGTGTTTCTGTACTCAAATAGATAACCCATTAATTTTTCATTCAGTGGCTGGCACTTCGTTATCTTCCGCACCCCCCACCGAAGATGTGTTAACCAGGTTTTGCTCATTCAGTTGTTGTGGTAATACTGATACCGTAGGGGGTGGTGAAAATGACGGAGTCCCCTGGCCGTACACAGGACAAGGGTGGATGTTTTGTGGCTTACTTCTCCCATTATCAATGGTTTTTCCGCACTTGTAGTGTATTATTTGATCTAAGTGTCTAACACATGTAGTATTTAGATCATCAATGTATACCTTAAATAATCTATTACCAATAGTGTTTACAATTACACCTAATTTCCAATATTTCTTTCTAGCACTGTACCAGCGCGCCAATACCCTGTCACCATTTTTAAAAAATCTACTGGGTTTTGCTTTATTCCTGTCGCTGTTTTCACTATACGAATATTTATGTTTTGTAGGCAGTACTAAATCAAGTCGAGATCTTAGATTTCTACCAAACATTAATTTTGCGGGTGATTGACCTGTAGAACAGTGTATGGTGTTTCTGTACTCAAATAGATAACCCATTAATTTTTCATTGAGCGAACACTGGTTTGAGGTCTCTTTTAAAACTATTTTTAACATTTTTTTACATGTACGGACAGAGTTTTCCGCTTGCCCATTGCTACATGGGTGGTAAATTGGAGAAGTAATATATTTAATACCATTACTGGAACAAAATTCATTAAATTCTTTACAATTTATTTTGACGTCGTTATCTGAAACTAATGTGTTAGGTATACCGAAAACTGAAAAAAATTGTTTTAATTTAGTTATAAGTGCTTGAGTGGTGAGGCCGGCGCTCATGTGAATACACTCTAGCCATTTTGAGAACGAGTCAATAACTACTAGGTACACCCGTTGCCCTACAGACAGGTAGTCAATGTGAACTCGATGCCAAGGTGCGTGTGGACGCTGCCAGGGCGCGGGCGCGGCGCGCGCCGGTGAGGTACGTACGCTGGCGCACTGCTCGCACGCGCCGCACCAACGCTCGATGTCGCCGTCTATACCTCCCCACCACATTCTACCGCGCGCGTTACACTTCATTCTAACTATACCTAAGTGTGTACTGTGCAGTTCATGTAACATCCGTTCACGCAATGCTGACGGAATTATAACTTTATGACCACGCATTATAACCTCATTTTCAAATTGTAAATCAGTCCTACATTGAAAAAATGGAATAATTGATTTACATTTTATTTTACGCGGCCACCCCACTTTCATGTACTTGATTACAGTTTGTAATGTCTTATCTTTCTTAGTCGCCTCTTTTACATTGTTAAACAGTACCGCCGATGAAGCCGCGTCTAAAAAATTTATGGCGCAGTATGCGTCATACTCTTTGTCGCTTTCACATATTGTTTCCGAAACCGGTGCACGAGAAAAATAATCCGCAACTACATTTTTTTCACTACTAATATAATGAACAACATAATTGTATGCCGACAAAATAATAGCATACCTTTGCAGTCGTAGCGCGGTCGTAGTCGGAATTCCCGTTTTAACATTAAATATCGAGACTAGCGGTCGATGATCTGTCTTAAGAATGAACGGCTCACTTCGGCCATACAAATATTGATGAAAATGTTTCACTCCGAATATTATTGCCGTAGCCTCTTTCTGTATTTGGCTGTAATTCCGTTCGTTGTTCGAGAGTGAACGAGAACCGAAAGCCAGCGGACGCTCGCGACCTTCACTGTCAAGCTGTGATAAGACCGCCCCGAGGCCAGTGGCCCCGCGTCCACGGTGAGCACTAGCTGCGCCGCCGGGTCGAAGTGCGCCAGCACCCGTTCCGAGGCGAGCTCGGCGCGCACGCGGCGCACAGCGAGCCGCTGCCGCTCGCCCCACTCCCACTTAGCGCCGTCCCGTAACAACTCGTGAAGCGGGCTCATAATACTCGACGCATTCCGTATAAAATTTCTATAATAATTAATTACACCTAAGAATCTTTTTACTTCAGTAACATTCGTAGGTTCGGGAGAATTCATTATAGCTTTTACTTTCTCTGGACTTGTACGTAAACCATTTTTATCAATTACGTACCCTAGGTATGTAACGTTTTCTTTCAAAAACTCACACTTATCTTTTTGTAATCGTAAACCGGCGTCGTCTAATCTGCTCAGTACTTGTTCTAGCCTTTCTAAATGTTTATCTTTTGTGGAAGCTGTTATACAGATGTCATCTAACAACAACACTATTTCGATCGATTTTTGAAATACAGCTGGTGCGTTAGCGAGGCCGTAAACAAGTCGCGTATATTTAAATAGCCCTTTCGGTGTATTTATTGTCGTAAGTTCTTGTGAATCGTCTGATAGTAAAAACTGATTATATGCATTTTTTAAATCAATTTTGGAGAATTGTTCACCTCCACCAAGTTTTGCAAATACCTCCTCGATCCTTGGTAAAGGATATTTATCAATTAATAAATCCTTATTCAATGTAACAGAGTAATCGCCGGCAATTTTTACTGTACCATCTTTTTTTAACACCGGTACAATAGGCGTTGCGTAACGCGAATTACTAACTGGAATCAATATACCTAGATTTACCAGTCTATTTAATTCCAATACTACCTTATCTTTTAGGGCAAAGGGTATAGGGCGAGCCTTGAAAAATTTTGGAACCGCGTTTTCCCTTAATTGTAGATGAACTTTAAACTTGTTAAAGCTGCCGAGCTTATCTCGCCATAGGTTAGGGTAACGTTCCAGTAATGTGTTTACATCAATATCATAACTCAAGGTATTAATATTTGTAGTTAACACAAGATCGAAGGTGGACATAAAATCACGACCCAGTAGAGGAGGGCCGGTCGAATCTACTACGAATATTTTCAACGTTTTTGTTTTCTTATTAAATATGGCCTTAGTTACAAAATACCCTAAAGGTGAAATTTTATGTCCATTATACAAACACATTTTAATATTGCTATACATTAATTTATGCATTGAGAACATGTCGTTATACATATTTTTTGAAATGACTGATGCACCTGATCCAGAGTCTAATTCCATGGTCACGAACTTATTACTTAACATCAAATCTATACGTATCGGCTTATTATTAATTACATATCTTAAATTAAAGTTTTGGCACTCGTCACATCCGGTGTCGCTATCCGAATCATTTTTTCCGATTTGATTTACGTAAACATGTTCGTTTTTATTTTTTTTGTTACACATCTTTTTTAAATGCCCTTTAATACCGCACTTTTGACATTTGTAATTTTTATAACGGCACTTATCTTCACTGTGATTTTTCATACCACATACTAAACACTGTATTTCGTGATTATATTTACATTGATCGCGGCTAGCCTGCGACGTCCACGCCGCACGTGAATTCGCGACGCCGCCATTTTTACTGCCGCCACCGCCATTTTTACTGCCGCCACCGCCATTACCGCCGTAATTTCTCCTTGCAGATCCGTACGATAACTTATATATCGCTTCTTCCTTCACAGCCACTGAGTCTGATACGAATGCCTTTGCATCCCTAGCACATTCTGCCTTTTCCGCGATTTCAATGGCACGTGCTAACTTTAACTCGGAAACGTTTTGTTCAAACAATTTATCGCGTTCAGGACCTGGACCCAGACCTAGGACGAAACGGTCCGTGAGATTTGTATCCAAGGCAACACCAAAGTCACAGTAACTTGCTAAACCTCTTAGTCGTGCCGCCCAGTCTCCTAGTGACTCCCCGCAGTTTCTTGTTGCGGAATAAAATTTTGCTCTGTCGGCGAATGAACACTGTTTCGGCTTAAAATGGCTGTCGAGTAATAACACCAGGTTTTCAAAACTTTGCGTCTCCAGTTCTTCAGGATAGGCTAGGTTACGCACTAGACGGTATGAGTTGTCCGATAAATGCGTAATCAATATTGCACATTTACAGTCATCTTTCACATTATTCACTTTTAAAAATTGAATTAGTCGACCTTTAAAAATAGACCGTAATATTCACAGTTTTTATAGTCAAAAATAGGTATATTTCCTATAAAAGACATTTTTATTGTAGGTAGGATCGTCCTCGTCGCCACTGATATGTATTAAGGATGGTTCGCGAAGTGATAACAACTGGTATGCAAGAATACTGGTTTATTACTGACAGCGCATCAAGTCTCCCATTACTAATATATATGTAGGTAGATATAATTATGCTCATTATTATTAAAAGAGGGTAGCAGATACATCACTCTCCCTTTTTAATACCTACTTCAATCCATCCATATCTCCTTCCCAACTTCTATTCTTACCCTACTTTCTTAAACTGACTTCTTCTTCTCATTTAACAGTTTCCTCTTGTCAGTGCAACTAGTTCATGCATCTTCCTCCAGCCAGTTCTATCGCAGGCCATATCCTTGACCTGCCTATACGACAACGACCTTCCACTAACTATTATTCATAAACAATATTACAGTTTAGTTACATTGTATGACTACATATATATGTATACACTTTTGTAACTACATATTTCATGATTTGTAATTTATGTAAATATTTATTTTAATTTCTGTTTAGCACTACTACTGCCCACTCACTACTTCCTACGCCACTGTGTTAGGTTGACTGGAAGAGATCTCTTTTTTATACAACTTAGAATGGCAAACAAGCTGACGGTCCACCTGGTGTAAAGTGGTAATCGTCGCCTATAGACATGAGCAGTACCATAGACAACAGAGTATACTGTTTTGCCCATGATACCCCCTATGCGTTGCCATTCCTGAGGACTCATGTGTTATTCCTCTGTACCCAGTAAATTCACTGCCATATCCCACCCTTCAAACCGATACACAGTCATGCAAACACAACTGCTTCACGGTAGAAATACGAATGGGACAGAGGTACTCAAGCATTTTTAGAGATAAGTTCGCCTTTGTTAACTTTGTTATGGTGTCAAATGGTCAATGCCACTAAAGAAGAAAAAAAAAACAGGACCATAGACATTATGATGTGCACAGTACTTGTTTGGTGTCCTAAAATATCGAATTAAATTTGTATGAATGTAAATGAATATATTTTGTTGTAACATTCTGCCCATGTTCATTTTATTGCCATATTTTTATCATAATTGTATGAGTTGTTCAGAGTTTTATATTGCGGTCGCGTTCACTCGCTATGTTTGTATTGAAACATTAGTAGCGCCTCTAGCGGATAGTTTCGGAAGCTCACATTTCCATACAAACTTATCGACGCGTCGTAAAGTGTCTTTGTGCCATTAATATAAATATTGTAAATATTCAAATGTGTGATTTTTTATTAAGAAATAAATACTTTATATTCTTTTTTAAGATTGTACTTTTTAATCCTATAAAAAAGCACAAAATATCTCTCGTGTACGCACGCTTAAATTTACCAGCAACCTTAACCAGCGCTCTCTAGTGCATTTAATATTGAATCCACTATGAGTATGTAACATACAGTTTTTTAATGGGTGATAATGGAATGGTAACCTTGCCTACGCTATCGGTATACTATGCTGGTGAGGCACCAGTGAAGGATGATAGGTGAGGATGAAGACAGGTCAATTGGTCCATCGTGATGAATTCAATGACAAATTAGTCACGATTATTTTTAAAGGGAACCGCATGGAGGTCGGCCTGATAGGGTATATTGATAGCAATGGGGACTAACCTCCCCGTTACTAACAAACCCTTCCTCCCTATATAATACAGTTGTGTAACTACTAAAAAATCCTCGGTATCATCATATCAGCCTTAACTGTTCGCTTTTGAACATAGGCCTCCCTGGGGGGAAAAGGGATTGTTAGCAATGGAGTTTGACAGCCCCATTGTTAGCAATATGCCTTATTAGGTCGATCTCCACGTGGTTCACCCTAGAAACCGAAGGATCATAGGTGAGGATGAAGCAGGTCAGTCAGTCCATCGTGATGAATTCAACAAGAATTGTTCACGATGGTTTCCAGGAGGAACCACGTGGAGGCTGACCTGACAGGGCTGATACTGCTAGCAATGGGGCTGTCAAACTCCATTGCTAACAATCCCTTTCCCCACAACCACGTGAAGTTCAATCTGTAAGGGTATATCGCTAGCAATTGGACTGGTAGCCTGCATTACTAACAATCCCTTCCCCCTCCCTTAAAAGGTAGGTCAGTTCATCGTGATGAATAGGCCTGGAATTCAATACGATTTCCAGTAGTGACAATGTTGAGGTCGATTTGATTGGGTATATTTATAGCAATGGGGTCCCTTAGTCTCCATATCTAACAATCTTTTCCCCCGAAGCAGTTTATAGTATCTCTAATCTGTACGATTTATTTCGAAAGTTGGCCATAGGTCATAAATAATTGTGGTTGACGGAATAGTCGAGTTGGGGGGAAAGGGATTGTTAGTAATGGAGACTGAGAATCCCATTGCTAGCAATATACCCAACCAGGTCGACCTCCTCGCGGTCCCCCCTGGAAACTACTATCATGGTTAATTCCTGATGAATTCATCATGATGAGCTAACTGGCCTGTTTTCATCCTCATCTATCACCCTTCACTGGAGCTCCGCCAGCGTATCCCGTTAGCGCAGGCGGGGTTACCATACCATTTTCACTCATCAAAAAAAAAAATAGTCGAGTTAGTAAACAAAATCATAAAAATGTAGAACACGATCTCGATATCGTTTGTTTCTTACATTGATATAAAATTTACTGTATAAATGGATTATATTACTAAATGATGGATTGTTTAAATCAAATAGTATATAACCAAGGGATAATAGGTTTTTATAATTGTGTAAGGTACCTATTAAGCATTGAAGCACCTCGATTAACTTGAAATAAGTTTTATTTTTTCAAGTTGACACCTATAATAATAATATTGATTATTAATTTGATCTATGCACTTAATTTAAATATGAAACTAATTTTAAAACACAGAAATGATAAGTTAATCAAAATATATATATATAGGTATTTTATTCGAAATAAACAAATGCATTTTATTTATAGGTACATAACTGTTAAATTAAACATATACATAAACGTAATTAAACGTGGCACTAACGCATCGAGTAACGAAACGCAAAACGTCAAAGTCGTCTGACGTGTTTAATTTTCTAATTTCCCAATAGTTTTTGAAAACGTTTGTGAAACATTGCTTACGTTTGTTTTATCAATACATCGATTCGATAAGCCATTATCGCTCATATGTCCACGTAGCGAGTCTACCTAAACAGGTAAAATCAAAGTTTTTACACTTTCACGCTTTAAAAATTGTAGAATTGAAATGAAACTGGTTTATTACTTTGAACATTTTTGAATTCCTTTTCCACGCTGTTGCTCTACTCGTTTAAAAAAGTTGAAATAAAAAAAATATATATATATACCTACTTATCTGTACTATTTCTTGGTCGCTTATTTAAATATTAAAAAAAAAAATTGCAGATTAAAAAAAATGCTGCGTGTAATATTTTTCGCTGCGATGCTGCAGTGTACGATATCACAACAATATCAACAGAAAGTAGCTCCGGGCGTTCCTCCGCAGAATTATCAGGTAACAGTTTGAGAAATAAACAAACAAACAACAAATGTATCATTAAATTGTAATATTTATATTATTAACGGACAATCTCGTCGAAGTTACTGTTGACCCAAGAGCTGGCAGCTGCTTTAAGTAAAAGATAAGTTTACCAATCCAAAAAGGTTGCTGCCAGTATCTTGGTCATGCTGCCTTGATGTGGTGCGTTGGGAGACTATGTGTATTTAATTATGTTTTATTTTAAACATTGCATAAGATACTTATTATTTTTATATTTTTATTAACTATAATTTTTTTTTATGTCCTCCAATTCACAATTATAATCTAACATTCATAGGTTGTCGGGAAAAGATCCCTTTTATGGGATAAGCCCATCATTGTACTATTTATTTTCTTAAGAACTCTGTATGTTATAATTTAAAACTTTACTGTACAATAAAGTATTACAAACATACAAACAAACAAACTTAATATTAAATAGTAGTTACTAATATTATGAACTAGCCGTTTCACACGGTTTTGTCCATGTGAATTAGTATATAAACAATTATATGTTCTATGTTAGGATATAAAAAAATGTGGGCAATATTATGGACCATATGTTGCTATATTTAGTATAATTAAACAATGGGTTTAAAGGAAAATAACTAATAAAGAAAACTACAGAAGACACACTCGGCTGAAGTGGCAATAGGCTGGTCACATAGCTCGAAGGACCGACAACCAATGGGGAAGAAAGGTTCTTGAATGGCGACCACGTACGGGTAAATGCAGTATAGGATAACCCCCCACTAGATGGACGACCTGCAATGCATTGCAGGGAGTCAGTGGATGCAGGTGGCTCAGGGCCGTTCTTTATGGCAGTCTATGGGGGAGGCTTATGTCCAGCAGGGGACGGATAGTAGCTGAAATGATGAATATGAACTGAAAATATTAACCGACTATGAAAAGAAGATGATTCAAGTAAATAAATGTATTCTAATTGTAATAAACATGTTGTTACAGAACTACCAACAACCGCCACCACCGCCGCCTCCACAGCATCAACCGGTAAATTAAAACGATATAATTAAATTAAACAATAAATAAAATTTCCATTAATATCCCCTTAAAAATGGTGGTCCACTACTGTTTTTTTTAATGGGTGATAATGGTATGGTGACCCCGTCTGCGCTATCAGTATACACTGGCCAGGCACCAGTGATAGATGACTAATGAGGATGAATGCAGGTTAGCCCATCCTGACGAATTCTATTAGAATCACCAGAGGTAGACTTTGTACAAAAGTCGATTGCTTGGGTACCTCTGTCCCATTCGTGTTTCTACCGTGAAGCAGTTGTGTTTGCATGGCTGTGTTTCGGTTTGAACGATGGGATATGGCGTGAATTTACAGGGTACAGAGGAATAATGAGCAATGCATGGGGGGTATCATGGGCGAAACAGTATACTCTGTTATGTCCATGGTACTGCTCATGTCTATAGGCGACGGTTACCACTTTCCATCAGGTGGGCCGTCAGCTTGTTTGCCATTCTAAGTTGTATAAAAAAAAAAACTAGAATTAGCCACGATGGTTTCCAGAAGGAACCACGTGGAGGTCGAGCTGACAGGATATATTACTAGTAGTGGGGCTATTTGACCCCATTACTAACAATCCCTTTCCCCCCAACTACTGTATGTTATGTGCGTTTCACTTCTTGCCTCTTACTGTAAAAGTGGAATAAATTACCTACAGCGGCATTTCCTAATAAATACGACATGGGCACCTTCAAGAAACGAACTTATAAATTTTTAAAAGACCAGCAACGCATCAGCGACTCTCGTGGTTGCGGTAAACTTTTACCATCAGGTGACAGGCATGCTGGTTTCTTTTTACATAAAAATATATATATATATATATATATATATATATATATATATATATATATATATATATATATATATATATATAAATAGCTTGAAAATAGAATGACCATGGCTACTAATATGACCTTTTTTTATGCAACTTAAAATGGCAAACAAGCTGAGGGCCCACTTGATGGAAAGTGGTAACCGTCGCCTATAGACATGTGCAGTACCATGGACATAACAGAGTATACTGTTTCGCCCATGATACCCCCCATGCGTTGCCATTCCTGAGGACTCAAGTGTTATTTCTCTGTACCCTGTAAATTCACGCCATATCCCACCCTTCAAACCGAAACACAGCCATGCAAACACAACTGCTTCACGGTAGAAACACGAATGAGACAGAGGCTGCCAAGCAAATGACTTTTGTACAGTCTCCCTCTGGTGTTAGGTGCCCTGTTAGTTTAACCTTCACACTCTACTCTCTGGAGACTTGTGATTAATCCCTATTTTGTCTCAGTGAACCGACTGACTTGACTTCATCCTCTCTTGTTATTCCTCATTGATAGTACACCATAAATATTGACCAATAGTGCAAGTAAGGTTATTCCAGTTTTATCCATTAAAAAAAGTAACAACAACAATATCAGCCACCTCAGCAACAAAGATCACCACCTCAACAACAATCCTGGTTATTCAAAGTTCCAACATGTGTAACTATCATGTTTTAACTTAATAAATTATATCATAGCCGCCGTAACAACAGTACCAATAATAGCAACAGTATCAGCCACCCTCTCCCTCCCCCAACAACAGTACTAGTTAATCAAAGGTCCACCATGTGCATCAATCATGTTTTAACTTTATGAATTATATCTTAGCCGCCGCAACAACAGTACCAACAATAATAACAGTATCAGCCACCCCCTCAACAACAATACTAGTCAATCGGAATTCCACCATGTGCATCAATCATGTTTTAACTTTATAAATTACATCTTAGCTGCCGCAATAACAGTACCAACAACAATAACAGTATCAGCCACCCCCTCAACAACAATACTAGTCAATCAAAGTTCCATTATGTGCAACAAGCATGTCTAAATTAAATAAATTATATCTTAGCCGCCGCAACAACAGTACCAACAACAACAACAGTATCAGCCACCCCCTCAACAACAGTACCAGCAGCCGGTACAACAGCAAGTGCCTGTACAACAGGTGCCCGTACAACAACAACAGCAACACGGCCACGCACACCACGGTGGTGAGTTTCACACCATACTCGCTTTTTTATGAATCCCGGCATAGAATGGGTCACCCCTTCCTTTCTCGCGGGTGTCGTTAGAGGCGAGTAAGGGCACTTAACAGTCGAGGAATAGCCAGCAGTGTCCCTCTTAAAATATTACCAAAACCTTACTGCGGCTGCCAACCCGCCTGCCTAGCGTGGCAACTACTGGTAAAATCCTTCAAGGCGGAGCCCTATATTCACCAGTGGACAGTTGACGGCTGATCTGATGCGGTGTTTAACTATATACTTAACTAGCTGTTGCACGCGACTTCGTCTGCGTCATATATGTTATAATGAGTCAGTCTTAAAAGTTAGATATATACTCTTGCGGACATTTTTTAGATCAATTTTTTGGGTAATTGGAAACGTTTACGCAGCGCACGCAACGGAACGGACGAACGAACGGGACGTTTCGCCCATGACACTCCCCATGCGTTGCCATTCCTGAGGACTCGGGTGTTATTCCTCTGTACCCAGTAAATTCACGCCATATCCCACCCTTCAAACCGAAACACAGCCATGCAAACACAATTGATTCACGGTTGAAACACGAATGGGACAGAGGTACCCTTTGTACAAAGTCTCCCTCCTAAAAATTCTGTAACAAAATATGAAATTGGTGCCAAGTTTTTTTTTATGGGTGAAAATGGTATAGTAACCCCGCCTGCGCTAACGGGATACGCTGGCGGAGAACCAGTGAAGGGTAATAGATGAGAATGAAAACAGGCCAGTTAGCTCATTATGATGAATTCATCAGGAATTAACCATGATAGTTTCCAGGGGGAACCGCGAGGAGGTCGACCTGGTTGGGTATATTGCTAGCAATGGGATTCTCAGTCTCCATTACTAACAATCTTTTTCCTCCCAGTTGGTGCCAAGTTTTTAATGATAGATTTTATATGCAACGTATTCTATTATTTATTATTATGCTTATTTTTTTTTTTGATTGGCTTGTCCTTGATCGGCTTAAATTTTCTTTCAGATCCACAACTATTGAACACGGCGAACATAGCACAGGAAAGAGAGTGAGTAGAGTTGATTGTTACCATTGCCATAATCCATTAACGCCCGCAAAATTATTAATGTGCCCTCCTTCGGCCGCTAAATTATCAATATGCCCTCCTACCGGTCTGAAAATTATCAGTGTGCCCTTTCCTGGTCGCAAATTATCATTGTGCCCTTCCCCGATTACAAAATTATCAATGTGTCCTTCCCCGGCCGCAAAATTATCAATGTGCCCTTTCTTGGTCGCAAATTATCATTGTGCCCTTCCCCGATTACAAAATTATCAATGTGCCCTTCCCCGGCCGCAAAATTATCAGAATGCCCTTTCCTAGTTGTAAAATTATCATTGTGCCCTCCCCGGCCTGAAAATTATCAATGTGCCCTCCCCCAATTTCAAAATAATCAAAGTGCCCTCCTCTTGTTCGTAAAATTATCATTGTTCCCTCCTCCATTCACAAAATTATTTGTACCCGTTTCCTCGCCCTCAAAAATATCAATAACCCACTTCCCCCACCCGTAAAATTATCTATACTCCTTCCTCCTACTCGCAAGAGTAACTATGTCTCTCCTCCTTTTCCCTCAAAAAATGTAAATGCCCTCCCTCATCAGCAAAATAAAAACTAAACAAGGCAAACAACTGACGGTCCACTTGATCTTAAATGGCTACCGTCGTATATACACTTAAACAGCATCGTGGATACTGCAATATTGCGATGACCATGCCTCATGTTTTTTTTTTTATTATACAACTTAGAATGGCAAACAAGCTGATGGTCCACTTGATGGAAAGTGGTAACCGTCCGTAACCGAGCAGTACCATGGACATAACAGAGTATAATGTTTCGCCCACGATACCCCCCATGCGTTGCCATTCCTGGGGACTCAGGTGTTATTCCTCTGTACCCTGTAAATTCACGTACTAGGAGACTAAGGCCTTTTTGCCTCCGTACCCTGTACCCATTTAGGAATGTTATGCACCATGGAATGTTATTTCAGTCGAGAGCTTCCCTATGTTTGGTGATGGTTGCTTCAGTAAAGTTGTTAAAGTCCATGTTTTTTATATGAAATCTACTTTTTACCCATGTTCATTATCTAGGTTCCCTATCAGGGTATTCTAGCTCGAAGAGCTGGTATTCATTTATCAATCCATTCCACAGCCATATCCAGGAGCACATGGAGGTGCCCATAGACACATCCAAAATGTCCGAGCAAGAACTACAGTTCCACTACTTCAAAATGCACGATGCCGACAACAATAACAAGCTGGACGGATGCGAACTGATCAAGTCGCTCATACATTGGCATGGTGAGTCAAAATCTAGTACGCTAAACGATAATTTAGTACTTTGAGCAATAAAAAGTAATTTAGTACCCTAAAGTAAATTAATACCCTAATAGTGATATGGACCCTAAAAATCACTTGGTACCCCAAAAATTACTTGGTACCCCAAAAATTACTTGGTACCCTAAAAATTACTTGGTACCCTAAAAATTACTTGGTACCCCATTAATTACTTGGTACCCCTAAAAATTACTTAGTACCCTAAATCCTAAATAGAAAAAAAACCCCGTCTGCGCATACTTTTTTCATGAAAAAATTTTCATTACTTTATCACTATCACTACATAGTAAAAAACAAAATCGATTCCTGCTGTATCCTTATGTATGCTTAGATCTTTAAAACTACGCAACGGATTTTGATGCGGTTTCTTTTAATAGATAGAGTGATTCAAGAGGAAGCTTTATATGTATAATACATGCATAATATTGTAGAGGAACACTGATAATTTTAGATTTTTCTAATGTGATGTCGTAAATAAACACATTTTTTAGCATTTCACCCGTGCGAAGCCGAAGCGGGTTGTTTTTTTTTTAATTAAGCTAATTGTTTTCCCGTTTAAACTAGTTATTTTTCGCGGGTTGTTTATTTTTTTTTAATAAATAAAATGAAGTACCCTTCATTCTGGCTCAGACGGGTTACGACTTTATTTTTCTTTTGTTTATTTTTTCCTGAGAACTTTTGTTAATTTTTTTTTATAATTAGCTTTTCATATATTACTCTTTGACAACGAAAGTGATTTATTAAAATGTGAACGTTTAATACGTTACAACTTTTTTATTATTATTGGTATTTAAAATTTTATTTTGATGTTATTTTAAAATATTGTTTTTGTGCTTCGGTTCATTCGTTGAGTGTTTTTTTTTTTAATAATTGTTATAAGATAAGGGTATTTGTCAAATGTTTTTAAATTTAAAATTGTAAACGATTAATATATGCATAGAATTATAGATTACTTTTTGAATTTTCATAATTGCAATTGTTGTTTTTTTTTTAATTAAATATTATTAATATTTTTTATTTTATTAAAGTGATTAAATTTTAAATGTTCTCGTATTTATTAAATTTACATTAATTGTTTACAATTTTTTTTTATGGAATTGTTTGTTTTTTTTTTAAAGCTTTGTATATTACAATGTTTTATTGCAATAAGTGTTTATGTTCATGGCTAACAAAAGTATTTGGCAACTTTTGGCGGGAAATGCTTTTGTTGTGTGTCACGTTCTCTGTCATTTATACTTTTTTCTTTTTTTTCTTTGTATTTTTTTTTTCTGTACATTATTTCTATAAAGTGTATAAAGTATAAGGACAGACTGCGTGATTGGAAGTCATTGTGGTATATGGTTATTGGCATATATATATATATGTATGTCTATATATATATATATATATATATATATATATATATATATATATATATATATATATATATATATATATAGACATACATATATGTTATTTTAGGATCTTTAAATTGGATTATATAGATAGAGCTTTGAGTCTCAAAAACGCGTCAACTTTTTGTCAGCTAATAGTCAAATTAGCTTCTAATTTTTAAAATTGTACTTTATTACAACAGTTACTAAGTTCAATTTTGTTAAGCAAATAAGATTTTTTTTTTATTTTCATAAAACGAACTTTATTACGTTATATATGCCAATAATCACATCGCGCTGGTACATCACTTACATTCGTGTTTGTCTCTCCCCCCCCATATGTGCGGTTACCATGGCAACGGTATAGAGCAAGGCCACAAACAGACACCGCAACCCGGCAACCCACCTGTCGGCGAGAAGATATTCGCCGACGACGAGCTCATAAACCTCATAGATCCCATTCTAAACATGGACGATCATAACAAAGATGGTTACATTGATTATCCGGAATTTATTAGAGCGCAACAAAAGAGCCAGAACAAAGACGGCAGAACGTAGGACATTCCTTAGCCTCGCCAATAGAATACGGACTTTTTTGAAGATTTAAAAAACGAAAAGTGCTGTCTGTATAAAGTGCGGTACATGAAAAAAAATTTTTTTTGAACAAATTATATGAAATATATAATGCACTTTATTAGTTCACGATAAGGTTCAATTTGGAATGTCGATAATATATTGATTTCAAAATGACGACCCCATTATTAGAAGCTTTTTTTTTTAGTTGAAATGTAATTTCTTTATGGGAATACTCTAATATATATATATATATATATATATATATATATATATATATATATATATATATATACATATATATACATATATATATATTGTTCTATAAGTATAGACAACTGATTTTTTTAAATTTTTAATTAAACCTGTTTTTTAATCAAATTAAAAAAAAAGTATTTTAATGAGATTCAATTTTTTATTATTATTTTACAACACTTTTCTATTTTTAAACTATAAAAAATGCTAATTTCTATAACGTGCAAGAAAAATAATACGTACAATAAGAGAAAAACTTTGTATTTTCTCTTTCACATTATATTAGTTTACTCTTCTATGGAATACTGGCGGTTATATGCCGTAGCGTAGTATGATACCGTGCGATTGTACCGTCACGATATAATCGAAGAGGAAAATGTATGCAATTGTATGAAAAGTTTTTAAGTTACTATGTACGTCCACGATATCGTCGCGCTATATTAAACGTATTTCTATAGAGCTGCGTGCAGTGCTTTTCTTTTATATCGTAACGGTACAATCGTAAGATATCGTGTATATCGATAATGTAAACTGGAGCTAGTTATGCAGAAACCAGCCACGTTACCCCGGATAATAATATTATATTTAAGATGTATTTAAAAATATTTTTAAATATTGTTATGTATTTTCAATTCAAACATATATTTCTGCATATTTAAAAACTTCGCTCGAATCCTAAATATCAAAAATGTAGAGTAGTCATCAAATTATTTTGAAATGAGCACAGTGTGCTCAAACTTGCTTCTATATGAAACTTATAAAACAAAATTAAATTCTATACTACCGAAATATCAAAATCTTACTCTAGTTTCGATTTTTAATTGCTTTTTAAAAGTATTTCATATTTAAATGTCAAAATTATTCTAGTATAACGTTCGACGAAGTAGTAACGTTCGATATATATATCGATATTGAAGTTCGAATCAGATTGTTTCGATATTAAAGTATATCTGAAGTTAGACACAGAGCCCACCTAAACCTGATATTAATTTTGTAGTCATTACAATTGCGCGGGAATTTGTAGCCAATGTACATCGATATAAAGTTGTAGATTGATGTCAATTATATCTAATCCCTTGACTGAGGCATTACGCCAAGTTGACATCTGTCATTTGACAGATGAGCGGTGACAACCGTTTCCTATACAAAACGCTCAAATAATGTAAATTGGACTCTTTTTCCGCGCTTTGCCTCTCATTTGGGCCGTTGTGCGTAACGCTCAACTATGTTAACAGAGATTTAAAAGAGTAACTGTTGAGTTTCTTTCGGGCTCTTCTCAACAATCAGGACCCTGCAGTAGATTAAAAAAAAGGACGATTTAAAAATGCTTGTAAACAAGTCTATTTTAATAAAAGTAATTTGAATTTGGAAATATCTATGTCATCTATTTTAACTTCTATGGTTGGTTGCATGATATTATGAATAGAGTGCAACTATTTGTAAAATGCGGATTTTTTTTACTACCCTCCCAATCTATGGAGGATTTGAAGAAGAAGGGTCAAAAGCATAGAAGTGTCACTTCTATGCAGTCTGTTTTTTCTTACGGCTTTAAAATCGTTATGGAATCGAGCCCACAGGTCTTTCATAGAATTGTCAGTATCATAACAATATTTTTGAATGTTCTTATTTAGAAATTGCACTTAATTACATCAGCTTAGGGGTCCATTTTGTAAATCAACAAACTTTGTCATTTAAAATTGGACCTTATTACAATGGGACCTAAGTTCAATTTTATACGAACACTTCGTTGTATTTAATCTATAGATAGGTCTTGTCAATTCACTGAAATATATTTTGAAATGTTTATATTGAAAGGAAAGTGCCAATATTTAATTTGTCGCAAATGTTTATAAAAATGTAACAGTTGGATTCACATTACATACCTATATATATTAAATATGCCCCCAAAATGACCACTTTTCTTTGAAATCTGAAATCTTAACTGAAAATTCCCTGTAACTACTTATTTAACAAAAATACTATTAAAAATATTTTACTTTATTTATATTCTAAATATAATATTTATCAAATCAGTTTGCATGGTCTATAGAAGATTTTGTTTATTCAAAATAATATAGATATCGATTAGGTTAGTAAATAGAATCGATACAATTAATTAAATCAGTCGTATCGATATAAAGGTTCTATAAAAAAAAAAAACTACTTACTGTTCAAAAATGTTTAAATTTACTCGAATAAAGAATATTTATATTATATACTACGACCTATGAAATATAATTGATTAGAATATGTCATGGTAAAACTAAATCATGTATAATCGATTGTATCGTATCGATATATTCGTAATGTAATAGTATTATATTGATCGATCTTTGTATATGCACATTCTGTATAAATACTCCCTGTGTACATCTCTTGTGTGCACAATAAAGAGTTTATTATTATTATTATCTTAATCAATTATAATCGATTTAATGTTTGATCGATTGTATCGTATTCATGATTACCCAATAAAATATCAGATTATTTGTGTCTAAAAATAATGAATATCGATCGATTATTATTCTATGCAATATATTGTCTATCAAATAAATAAATTAATTTGGCGGTAAATCATTAATGTGAAATCAACTGTTATTTATATATATAAAAAAAAATATTCTACGTATAAATTAGTAATTATGGCGTAAATTTACAGGGTACAGAGGAATAACACCCGAGTACTCAGGAATGGCAACGCATGGGGGGTATCGTGGGCGAAACAGTATACTCTGTTATGTCCACGGTACTGCTCGTGTCTATAGGCGACGGTTACCACTTTCCATCAGGTGGGCCGTCAGCTTGTTTGCCATTCTAAGTTGTATAAAAAAAAAAAATTACATATTTAGCGTCATTTTCTAATATATTTCTGCATATTTTCCACTAGATAAGTGTTTTAAATACTTAATGGTAATATTTTTGTGTAATGTATATTTTTATCTGTGGCATGAATAAGAGTGTATTTTTTTAATATGTAATAAAAAAAATCGGCTGTTTAGCTTTGCACCTTTGCCGTTCCCGTCGAGTGTAAACTATAATTACTGACAATACATAAATATATGTATTATAAATAAACTCAATCTTGAAGTATTTTTAGTTTATTAATATTGTTTTTTTTTTGTGCTCAAATAATGTGCTTCCACAGAGTAAAGAGTATTTTGATCTTGTATCAAAATAATTATTTTTTCTCGTAAGTATTACACTGTTTACCTCCACTATGCATTTCTTTTTTTTTTTTATTGTATTATTCTTTTTTTTTTATAACATCATGAGCGCAGTATATGAATTTTAGATAACGTAGATAATGGTAATGATAAAAAAAGTCACAAATTTAAATTTGACAGATGCGTTTTGTTTTTACATCTAATAAAAAACAAATTAAAAAGTATACTTATGAAAAGTTATTTAACTATTACATGTACATTTGGAATTTATATACGAATATATATATATAACTAATCAAGTATACTTAAGTAATAATAAAAAAAAATATTCTGACATTCAAAATTGCTTTTATGACAGTTTTCTCTGCCTACCACGAAACGGATATGGCGTGAAGATGTTAAGATTAAAAAAAAAATGTAAGCTATTTCATCGAAATATTTGTGGAAAGAGACTAGATCTAGATTTTAAATCTAGAATAATTTTTTATTTATAAATATCGAATTTAGAATTTTTATACGGCTAAAAAGCCCAATTAAAGATATTTATTAAATAAATATTCTTGCTAGGAGTAAAAAAAGTCTCAGACACCAAGAAAAGTCTATGCACAAGGGACTTAAGTCTTTTCTTGTGAGTATAAATTATTGAATGGTGTCTACATTGGTTTTTTTTTTTTGTATATATCTCTTCCTGGAGAAATATTAATTTATAAGAAATTGTCTGTATATATTGTACATTAGTTTTTCGTATATTTCAGGTCAGTCATTGTTTATTTGTGGGAACTGTGGGTAGTTTACATTCTTTTTTCAGACAATAACACCATATAATTCTTAATTGTTTAATTTAAAAATAGTTTTCATTATAAAATTAAATTTCTGTTAGCGCTAATAAGAATGCATAGTTTCAATTAAGTATCCATATAGAGAAATATGGCTGAATGTGATTAGTTCTTTGGTTACGAAAAAAAAAAAATTGGCGCCAATAATGACTGCTTGTATTTTTGTATTTTTTTTTTGTTCCAATGTTTGTTATGCTTTCGAAATATAGATATTTGAATTGTTTACATTTGTAAGAGTTTACATATGTAAAAAAAAACATAAAATCTTACTGTTTTAGAGTTATAATTACTTATTTAACTATGTTTATTTTTCATCTCGAATTTTGTTTTTAATTTTTTTACATTGGTGGTTTATATATTAATATAAAATAGTTACGGTTGTAAAAAGATATTTATTATCTTCAATAATTTTATTACAATGACAAATTAGAGTTATCGACTATGCCTGTGCTGTATCTTTTTTACCGCCAATGGAAATTAAAAAAGAAAGTTGTCTATGGTCACAGTTTATTTTTAAGACATGCATTGACTTTTTTTCTTTATTATTTCTGTTCCACGGTTGTGTCGTAATGTTACAAGATGAGAGTGACTGTTGGGAATTAATAAATTTCTACAAAATAATCCTCTTTTATTGTAATTATATATTTCGGCGATTAAATCGTTTTTTTTTTAAATATATTATATAATGCCATGCGGTCCCGGCATTGTACCTCTATAGGTTAAGTACCTGATAATAAATGAATATTATTATATAGAATGGGCCACCCCTTCCTTTTCCGTGGGTGTCGTAATCGATTAAGGGTAGGCGAGGGATGAACAGCAACGTTCCTCTTAAAATATTTGGCGTGAATTTACTGGGTACAGAGGAATAACACCTGAGTCCTCAGGAATGGCAACGCATGGGGGGTATCATGGGCGAAACAGTATACTCTGTTATCTCCATGGTACTGCTCATGTCTATAGGCGACGGTTACCACTTTCCATCAGGTGGACCGTAAGCTTGTTTGCCATTCTAAGTTGTATAAAAATAAAAAAAATATATAAAATATTTCCAAAGCCTAACTGCGGTTGCCAATCCGCCTGCCAAGCGTGGCTACTGGCAACGATTTGGATGAAGTCGAATGTTGTTACTGATATGTTTTTAACCCTTTGAGTGCCGACGAGCGCCGTCGCGTTCGTGCGCATTGCAACTGAAAGTGCCACGAGCGTCATTAGCGCTCGTGAAATCAGTCGCTGTTTAGCTTGCTGTAAAAAAAAAATATTAAAATTGGATAATTTTTGGAGGAGATACAGTTTTTTTAGAGACAAGGGTAAATGACATCAACACGACAAAGATTTCTTTGGCATTTTTAAGTAGATATGAGAAGAAATGAATGGCACTAAAAGGGTTAAACAGGATTGACGTCAACAAAAACGGGTATATATCGTATACAGAATTTAAAAGATGCTGGAAATTTCGAAATTTTCAAAAGGCGGTAAAGAGGTTTCTTCAGGGTCGGCAACGCGCGCGTAATGCCCCTGGTATTGCAGGCGTTCATAGGCTACGGTAACCGCTTACCATCAGGCGGGCCGTATGCTTGTTTGCCACCTCAGTGGTATAAAAAAAAATTGAAAATTATCCAACAGGGTTATAATTGTATTTAAATGGTTAATGAAATATACGGAGCGATGTTTTGTTTTCTTTATAGATTCATCATCATCATCATCACCTTTTAAAAAAAAGCGTTCACGCTCACTTTTTTACTTTATCCGAGTAGTAAGTGCTTTATATTATTCTCAAATTCGTGTATAATATAGTATATGTCATATATGTGTAAGTATATTTGTTATTTATATATATTTATTCGTTTATATATGTAATTTTAGTATGTATGTATATCAATAATTACTAGTACCGCATTCGTGTATTCTGACACTTGCCTATGGTTGACTGGGAGAGAATGCTTTTAGCATTAAGTCCGCCATGTACACATATTTGTACTAATGAATAATTATCAGACGTTATCTGTCCATTGGTGAATATAGGCCTTTCTATATTAGGCGGTTTTGCCAATAATTGCTACGCTTGGCAGACGGTTTGGCAACAGCAATTAGCTATTTAGTCATGAGTAAAGAGGGACGCTGTTTTTTTTTAATGGCTGATAATGGAATGGTAACCCCACCTGCCCTATCAGTATACGCTGGCGGGCAGTTAGCCCATTGTGACGAATTCCACTAGAATTACCAACAAGGGTTTCCAGGGGGAACCACGTGGTGGTCGACCTGATAGGGTGTATTGCTGGCAATGGGTCAGTTAGACCCCATTACTAACAATCCCTTTCCCTCCAGAGGGACGCTGCTGTCCATCCCTCCACCATTAAGTTTCCTTAATCGCTTCTTGCGACACTCACGGGAAAGGAAGGGGTGGCCCATTCTATGCCGGGACTACGGCGATTTTTTTAATTAATCGATCGGAAACATGGACACTTACCATCAGGTGAGCCGCATGCTCGTTTGCCCGCTGTGTTGTAAAAAAAAAAACTCCTTCAATTGTTTTTGAAAATAGACAAATATTTGCGACATTTTCACACCTCGACAAACTAGTTATAAACGCTCTTAACTCTCTGTCTCCTTTAGTGAGATTTGGCGAGATGTCTCTCCCTCCCTCTTCTCCCTTTCTCCTTTATTCCAGAGTTGGGTAATATATACCAATATCAATATATTTTAGTTACAATATCTATACATTGGTCCTATAACGAATATGTTAAAAGTCTGTTATTTAAAAATAGTACATTATTGCAGCGGCCAGCAACTGAGGCATTGATGGACGAACGTGCAAATGTGGGCCGAGGCGTTGCCGAGGCACACATACGTGAGTCCATCAATGCCTAGTTGTGGCCAAGGCTTGTATAGTACTTTTCTCAAATAATGCGCGGAAATTAAAAACACTACTTTTTAAGTTCAATGACGAATAACGAACAATAATAATTTTTCACGCGCCATAATGTTCCTTTGTTTTTTTTTTGCATTAAACAGTTTTCTATTTGTAAGCCAGTTCGAAATTTAAATAAAACCTTTTATTAGTTACCTCCTTGGTAGTCATGTTTCGAAGTAAAAGGTCATTTCATTTTTAAATTACAGGACAGATATGAGTTTACATAGTAATTTATCTGGCCGCAAAACACGACAGATATGGATTTACATACAAATTTTGCCGGCCGCTGCCCGCATGTATCTGGCCAGTACGGCAATTTTGATCTATGTCGAAGAAGATAATGCTCACATTTCCAAGCATGTTTGAGAAAATAATATTAGATAACAGACTTTTAACTTATTCGAAAATAGATATCAGATCGATATGGACGATATCGAAATGGCTGATGAACTTTTTCCCGCCATCAATGTCTGGCGAAACCCAATATATAGATAAAGGATCGGTATCCATATTACTCATGCCTAATTTAGTGTGATTTATACATACTTCATTCATGTGTGTTTGACAATGCTTCGTTTGGCTGTATTGTGCAAGGCATTGGCTGGTGAAGGAATAGAGAAAAAAAAAATACATTAGGTAAGTACTTAGAACTAAATTCTTTAATACCAGACGATTTATCATATTGAAGACTAGGCAGCATGGTCTCCGACCTTAGCCTGTTCCACAACGGAACAAACGTACTAAAAAAAAAATTATAACTAAATATTGTCAGAACCACAGATAATACTATACTAGTATGTCAGAACTAACCTACTTCAGCGCGCTCCCTTAACTCACGCAGTACGTTTATTAAATAATATTACAAACATCATTGATATATTTAGTAGCAGCCTGCCAAAGATATTGGAAGCGGCTCACAAATATCTGGACTCGAGTTAAATACCTTTATTATAATTTTGTATGTCAGCACACTAGGTTTATAACATTGATTTGGCTTGATTTGTCATTTTGTATCAATTGTTTGTCGTCTTTTTGGCTCGTTTCTATGAAAAAGCTTTCACTTTTTTGCTGGTTTTGGCATTCCTTTAAAAACATGCTAGCAACTTCGATTTCACCATATTGTCTACGAAAATTGTGATCATTTGGTTTGGTGATGGACTGGTGAAGGTGATAAAGTAAGTAATATTTTAATTAAGTATTTATAAAAAGAGAATAAACCTACAGATTTATTGTCACTATGAATATTAAGGTTGTTGGTTACTAAAGAAAATTAGACAAGAATTACTAGATAGCGCTGGAATCGACACTTGTGTTTTTTTTTTTTGTTGATTATTTTATAATTAAAGATAATTAGAAGTGAAATTTCCAAATTGGCGAGTAGTTTTATTTATTTTTTACCGATATAAGTAGTAATAATTTATCATATTTTTTGTCTTTATTCTCTTGTATTGTACAACTTTGTAAAAAACATATGCTTGCAAATATAAAATAAATAAATGAATCAACGAACGAACCAATGAATAAATTACTAAATAAATAAATATTAGGTTAAAACTCGATTTTAGCGCCATCTAGAACATCGTGTCAATTTTTTTTTAATGGGTAATAATGGAATGGTAACACCAGTAGTGGTGACACCAGTGAAGAATGATAGATGAGGACGAAGTAGGTCAGTTAGCCCATCGTGACGAATTCAACAAAAATTATTCACGATGGTTTCCAGGGCGTCCCACGTGCAGGTTGACCTGATAGGGTATATTGCTATCAATGAGGCTGTTAAACTCCATTGCTAACAATCCCTTTTCCCCCGTCAAATTTTGTTTAGTGATCAACCACTTTAAGGTCGATTCTGATTCGTCATTTCTCTAAACCTACTTTAAAATTTAAATTTAAATCTGATACCACATTGAAAATCCTTATTCTAAGGACCAACATGAACTAAAATTGTAATAGATTTAAATATTATAAATTTAATTTGTGTAGTAAAACTATCAAATTAGAATATTAACTTAAGTGATAGATATAAAGTAATAGCGCTTCAGAATCGATCTCATTGTTCGTATGAATATTTTAAATATAATATTAAATACGTCTTGCATTTAATAATCGAAGATTTCCGTGAAGAATCAATAAAAACGCCATTTCCAGTTTCATAAAAAAAAATGTCATAATATAAACCGGCCATTTTGACTAGGCCGTGCATTCACCGTGTTGTGTACGTACTATGATAAACTCCCTAACTATGTCAGGGTAAGTACTTTCATTATATTTTTTTATCGTAATTTTACAATTACATATTGCTTGTCACTTTTATTGCATGTTTTATTTATAAATTATTACTTAACAATATTAGAAAAATTTCGCGCCTTTTTTTATTACCTATCTTTCAATTATCGTTGACATATGTCAACGTAACTGTCAATTCTTGTATTAAAAAAAAAAACTGCAGTAGTGTTTTCATTTGCCTCGATAAAGTTAATTATATAAAGAGCTATATTTCATAACTGCATTAAGAGAAATTATATAAAGTCACTAGAGGAAGACTTTGTATAAAAGTCGTTTGCTTGGGCACCTCCGTCCCATTCGTGTTTCAACCGTGAAGCAGTCGTGTTTGCATGGCTGTGTTTCGGTTTGAAGGGTGGGATATGGCAGTGAATTTACTGGGTATAGAAGAACGGCAACGCATGGGGGGGGGGGTGTCATGGGC